GAAATGTGTTTCCTCTAGTGTTCTGTTTTAAAAACAATCAACCAATCAACTCACATGACCAGAACCAAATGCTTTGTTTTATTTTAGTTACATATCATCATGTCATCCTTTTTGGAAAGAACTTAGCAAATATCCGTTATTTATTTAATATTTATTTTTGTGTAGTCTTTAATTCCCAAAAGGATTTAAAGCAGTCAGCATTAGACATTTTTTATTAAATTATAGGAATTAAAAATTTGGGGATTTATTTTCTTTAAAAGTATAAATTACTAAATTATCATATGCTTAGTGCAGAAACTTTGAAAATTCTTGAAATTCACAAAAGAAAAAGAGCTACCTGAAATCCCCTTAAGCAAATGAATAGGTATTTTTTTCAATTGTCTTAAAATAAACATGTTATTTTTGTCATCTTACATCATTCTTTTTAAAGGACAAAAGCTTTGCGTATGTAAGGGGAGAATAATGTTTCTTTAATATTTTAGGTCAACAAAAGTTGCTCAGTTACTTTTAGGGCTCACTGGATAATATTCTAATATCCACTGCTCAAATAGTCTACTCAAAGAGCACGTACTTTCTCACCTTCCCAAACAATCCCGAAAACTCTTGTATACGCTACCCGAGCTGGCACATTGAACTCAAAAAAGAAAGAAGTTACTCCTTTTGCTGCTACCATTTGCTGTGCCTGTGGACATTTTGTTTGTTTGCAATGGGATGATTTGTTTTCTTTAAATAGCCTTCCCAGCATAACAAACAGCCCGCAAGAAAAGTTGACTGTCCCTGCAGAATAGCAGAGTGCCTGCAGCCAGCATTGTTTTTGCTGTCCTTTCTTTAGACCTGTAGCTTCCTCCTCCTTACAGATTACACTGAGCTTTTTCCCCTTCTTACACTCGTGGCCTACATTCCAGGAGATCAAGCCTGGCACATGTTAATGAATGTAGGTTTTATTTAGAAACATGACCACTTGTCACTGCCCAGTGTCATGTTATCGGGCAGAGACTAACAACATTTGTCTAGAGTGAGCATTTTCATACTTCTATACACAGACAAGGGGAAACTTTCATCCCCACTCAGGATTTAGCCTTTTGCTCTGCAGAGTCTAACTTTTGCAAGTGGAAGCTTCATGGTGGTGGCAGAGGACCTGCGTGCCCTGAGGATGGCAGAGGACGGCTGTGTGGACGCAGATCTCCCAGATTGTAACTGCGATGTCACAAGGCAGGCATCTTCTTGAGTTTCTTCCATTGTACATAGCTTTCATGTTACGTGGGGTTTATAGGATAGATGTTGGAGGCTTTCATCCAGAACTGTTTTTGCCAACGTTACATGAAGATGATTGGCACTGGGAGATAGCTGGCCATGTGGACTCTCAAGAGTTATTTGCTGGTTTGTTTTCTAGTACCTCTACTGGGCATGCAGAGCTGGATGAAAAGGTTGATGGACTTTGTGATGACTCGGTATTCCACTTGTCTCTGGTGCATAGCGTCATACAAGGAGTATGGCTAGAATAGAAAGGCTGAGACACAGGAAGGCGATCCAGAAAAAGACCCAGTTAGTCCATCATCTGCTATTTACGGATGGGCTTCTGATGAAACTGAAATTTAGCCTTAGCTGGTTCACAGCTTTGTAGTTGAAAGCTTTCCCTTCATTAAATAAAATTATTTCAGGGCTCTAGAAAATGTTGTGTGTTTGCGAAAGTTGCTTTTGTTTGTGCTTGTTAGTAAGTTTTAGTCACTAATATAAAGCTTATAAAACATATGTGCAAAGCGTACAAATTAATGTCTAAAATAGTAATTTAGGGCATTATACAAATGATTCATTCATTTTTTTTTTAGTTAGAATAAAAATATGACAGGAATTTTTATTTTTAATTTTTAAAAAATGTTTTCCTTTTACTGTATCATTCCTCAGACAAATTTCTGCAAATGAATAGCATTTACATGATGGTAATTTTTTTTCTATTATATTTAGAATTTGGACTTTTTGTTTTGTTTTGGATTATGGATATCCTAAATTACTTTGAAGGAAAGTAGTGAAATATAAATCCAATATATATGTAGATTTATAAGCGTATATGTGTAAGTACATATATATATATGTGTGTGTTTGTAGATATATTCTTGTTTCAGCATTAAGAAGCTGGACAATAGGATTTCATAGTAGAATCCTTTTCAAGAAAGGCCAAATGCCTGTAATACACACTGGACTATGAAAGAACCATAAGCTGCAGGGTCTTACAGATTTATCAAGCTGCTAAACTTACCCAGACATGTGACGTCTGCAAGTATCTAATTTGAATGATAATCCTGGATGTTTACCAAAAGGAATGTTGCTCAGACTCCTCATAATGATAGATAAATAAAAATATTGTGACGCTTTATCCAAAAATTATCTTTAAAGAAATAATGGAAAAAAATATGGGACATTTCTCCTAGAAAATAGTGATCCTTGTCCTGCAAATAAATAGCACATTTAATACCCATGTCCTGCAGGCTCATATCTGCTTGCCCACCAGCATGCACGCGCGTGCACACACATGCACACACACACAGGCACACACACGCACACACTGTATTTTTCTATTTGTAGTAAAATAACCTTTTTTAAAAATGAAAAAGATCCACCTAAATGTTCACCCCCATTGACTTTACTAAATATACACATTTGTTTGAAAGAGGAACTTGTCCCTAATGGACTATATGAACACAGATTTCCATGTCATGATGCCCTTGACATACTGCGTACTAACCGCTCTGACTTGGAACTCATTCAGTATTACAAAAGCTATCCTGTAATTTATTTTGCTAGTGTCGATTGGCCTGTGGAACAGTGTTTACTTGCATCCTTTTGTGCTTTGGATCCTTTGATCATATCTATAAGTGAGTTTTGAACCAAGAAAATGAATGAATTTTATTATTTGACAAAGAGAACATTGACAAATGTGGAACCTAAAAGAAAAACTTAATACACATTTAATATCAAATAAAAATTTTAAAATGAAAACATGTTAATTAAATAGACACAATTCATTTAGAATATTAATTATTAATGTTTAGCAACCACTTAAACAGTACCCAATTTCGTGCAAAGCACTGAATTTAACATGGCTGGGGAAGGGAAATATCCAGATATGGAAATTCACATTTCTAGCTTTCCAAGAAACTTACCATAGAGGAGACCAATTCATGCATAAGTAATACCAGGGAGCTAAAATAAGGTAGGAAGGAAACAGGGACTCCAGCCTCTAGTAAAACCCTAACAACGTTACGAGGTTGCAACCAAACCCCATCCCCAAACCTAGTGAGTATTCAGATCCTACCAAATCTGAAGACAAGAATCTGGTCATGTAGAAGAGGTGGCTGAGAAGGCATTCCCACAGAGGTAAAAGCAGTACGGACTTCTTGGTGCTATGCGCCATTCTTCAGGCCTGTTCCAGTGGGTTTATTGATGGTACACTATTCTTTCAGTCTGGGGCACTATATATGGCCAGAGCCATGTAACATTCCACGTCCATGCTGTGGTTGGTCAAATGTACTCCATGAGCTTGGTACCCAGTAGCCATAATAAAACTGTCATTCACTGACTGATGCCTAGATGAATTTTGCCTTAGCTATGAGAGAAATGTGAGTGGGTTGTATGTAAAAGTTCTTGGAAATAGTGTTCAAGGCCAATGCCTTGAAGCATCTGGGGGATACGGTACAATTTTTATTTATAAATTTAATTAGGAAAACCTTATCTCAAGTGGAATTTTAAGTCCTGATAAACATTGCAACACAGTTGCATTTTCTGTCAATAGACTATATTGTGAAACATGAACTTAATTTTTTAAATACACATTTTTCAAAACAATGAAAGGTAATGCTCTGAAGAGTGCTTTTACAAACTGAAAATGTTATTAAAAAAGAAGTATTATTAATTACAATTATTAAAATATAGATATTATTAATAGCTGACCATAGTGAAAATCCTTTAAAAGCCTTTATATGACAATGTTTTGAGGAACATTGACAAAAAGGAAAATCAATCATGTTGTCAAATACATTTTCACTTGAGAGAGAAACATTGATTTATTGAAATTGAAACGGAAGTGATATCAATTTTAAACAACTAAAAATGAATCAAAATGTTCAAAATACTTTGATTATGAGACATTTTCTTCAGAACACTGAGTCTTGAGCAGAGAAACGTATCAGAACTGCCTCGGGGTGGTGGCTAATATTTGGCACCTGTGGTTTGAAAGCACCCTCTGTGGATTGTGTGAAACCGGGGAATATCTGATGACTCTAAGTGTAAGTTGTCAACCTTTGAAAACATTCTATTGCAGACCCCTGTCTTAAAATCTATCACAAACCTAATGTCTTACAAGTCATGTTGCTCTTGACATTTTTTCAAAAAGATAGATACCTCTTCAGTTGAGCCAATGTCACACACTAGCAGCTTGAAGCATTTTGCTCATCTGCTGTTTACGTCTGTTATGAGCAGTGCCAATTAGGTGGCCGTATTTCCTGAACCAAAAGGTGAGACAGTCAAAAGCTAACAGCAATTTTTAAATAAGGGCTCTAATAGATCATTGATCATATGCTTATTATTACTATGACCTTTCTCTTTAGAGCAATCTATGTACACTCAGCCATGTCAGGCTCTTTACAGGGACTCAGTAATTGATTTTTGCTCTAAGTAGGTAGTAATGGAGTTGAGAAATATTACCCGTGTTCTTCCCAAACTTCTGATCATGCTCTGCTCACACTGAGAAAACTGTGTTCAAAACTAATTTATCTGTTTCTGCTCCTCTGCCCTGGACCCCTGCCTCCTCTGCATCTTTGTTCCATTGTCCGTATTCAGCTCTAATTTCTGTCCTCCTTTTTCTTCTGTTTTTGTCCTCTTCCACGCAAGTTTCTAACTCTCTGCCTACAAAGATTGTAAGGCCTAGTGTTCTCCTCAGCACACACGAGAAACATGAGTGGGCTTCTCGTTGAAGTGGGATGTTCCCCCTTTTCTGCCCACAGGGTGAAGAAGCTGAAGGAGACCCTGGTGGCTGTACAGCAGCTTGATAAGAATATGAGTATCCTGAGGACCTGGCTTGCTCACATCGAGTCAGAGCTGGCCAAGCCGATAGTCTATGATTCCTGTAACTCAGAAGAAATACAGAGAAAGCTTAATGAGCAGCAGGTAAGACTTAAAATTGAAATGGAATTAATAAGCCATGGAATATCTGTCCTCCTGGCCAGAATGATGGGGGGAGCATGAGATGGTGACTGGCAATGAAAGGCCAGGAGGGAGCTAGGCAGGACTGGTGAGGAAGGGTACTTTGCCTAGACAGAGGATTGGGGCAGACAGGTTCTATGCCGCTGCAGAGTTCAGCCTTACAGAGATGCTTGTGCCCTTGTACAGTTAGTGTCATCAGTTTACCAAGAAGCCTTCTAAGATGGTAGGTAAGGTTGAGTTGCAATTATGTATCTAAAACAGTGCTAACAGATTGGTTTACTTATTTGAGAGTTACTAGCCCTAGCCCATTAACATACACTTAGAAACGAATGAAAGGAGCCCCCCCTCACCCCACTTTTTTCTGTGTACAGTGTTTGGGGAAAGATTACAAGGCATACTTAGAATTTTTCAAGTTGAAAAATTTAGTTTTGCAAAACTGATTGCATGACCTGCAGATCACACACTGTAATTCCACCTTCACATGTGTAGCAAAGATAGACATCTCACTGGCCGTATACAACCCAACAAACAAAAAGGGATGATCCTAGAAAAGATATACAGAAGAAATTTTTAACTCACATTCCCTCCCTCGTTTATCCTTTTTTTTTTTTTCTTTTTTTGCTCTCTCACTCTGTGACCCAGGCTGGAATGCAGTGGTGTGATCTCAGCTCACTGCAATCTCCACATCCCAGGTTCAAGAGATTCTCATGCCTCAGCCTCCTGAGAGGTTGGGATGTCAGGCATGCAGCACCATGCCTGGCTGATTTTTATATTTTTAGTAGAGACAGGGCTTCACCATGCTGGCCAGGCTGGTCTCAAACTCCTGACCTCAAGTGATCCCCCTGCCTCAGCCTCCCAAAGTGCTGGGATTACAGGTGTGAGCCACTGTGCTGGGTCCCCTCATTTATTCTAAGTATATCAGCCTGCAGTTGGCAGTAGTAAACATGGCAAATTCCCCACTAGAAATATTTTTACTCCATGCCTTTAGATTGCTTTGAATATTCTGTCCATACTCTATGTACCTCTCCGTTACATTTAGATCATTGCAGCAAAGTTGCTTAACTTTAACATGCTATAAAATGTAAATATGTCCTATTTTTAACATCTTATAAAATAGTTTATGTACTTACTTCATTTTGCAGGCTATTTAAGCCAATGTAATAGGTGTTAAAATGCAGTTTGGGGTGTTGAGGTTTTTTAAATATTAAAATTATCATTAAATTATTGTTCTTTCTAATGAATACATAATTGTACGTATGTGTGGGGTACAATGTAATGTTTCAATGCATATTTGCATAATGTAATAATCAAACAAAATGAGGTAATTTGATCACCATATCCATCACTTTAAACATTTATCATTTCTTTGTAGTGACAACACTCAAAATCTTCTCTTCTTGCTATCTTGAAATACATACTAAATTACATTGCTTTTAAAAAATTTGTTAGCAAAACATTTTTCAGTTTTTATGAAATTAAAGTTTTCTGATGGGTGCTGATGTTTGAGATTCTGATGATTGAATTGTAGGATCCTGGTTGGCATCTAGCTTCCCAGATTCTTCCCGAGAACATGGTAATGATGTGTACAGTGATGAGTTAAAAATGCAAATGGCCAGCCTTGTAATTTTGCAAATGTATGAAAATCAACAATATAGTTAAATATGGCAAATTGATCATATGTACTTACAGCCCCACCTACTACTAAAACTCCAGTAAAATGATAGTAAAAAGAGAAAAGGTTAAAATCACAGTGGCAAAGAGAACAGGAGAGAAAATGGGAGAGATGACAGACATCCAACACAATTTTGCAAGATGGAAAGTGGATAGATGGAGGGTAGAGAAAGCTAATTAATTCCATGGAATTCCAGGAAGGCTCAGAAAGTGGAGATCAGATGAAGCTGAAAGTTGATTTGTCTGCTGAGCTGTAAAATGGAAGATTACTTGAAAATCTGAATAAGGTGTGCTGAGACTAGCAGATTCCTCCTAAGCCCAGGCAGCCAGGCAACTCTGCTTCCTTTACTCTGGCAGAAGGCCAGATAATTACTCTCTGGAGAAGGCAAACCAGAGGGGCATTGAGCTTGGGGATCAGGACACCATGGAGGCTAGAGTCACTATGTTAAAAATGGGGAGATGATGTGAAGGGCTCAGTACCAAATGTTAGGGCTCTCACCCCACTTCCCCAGCTTGGCTCCCACTATGTCCGTAATCAGGCTTACACCCTAGCCAGGATAATGGAGCATCCTTTCTGGAGAACTGATCAGACAAGAGAAAAAGTACCTTCAATTAGTGATACTCAAAGCAACCCAGCAAAAGGCCAGACTTCTGCCTATCTCTCCACAGTGAAGCCTCCTGGTTGACAGACCTTAGGTGCATACACAGCTTCTATAGCTGACTCATTCCTGAATATGTATGGGTAGGCAAGAATCCCCACCACTTAAGAAAGCTTCTGCCATTGAGAAAAGACCAAAATAAACAGGCGGAAATAAAGAAAGGAATAATTAGAAGAAACACATTGTAGAGAGAGGAAGAAAATGTAAACAAAACAAACAAACTCACAGAAATGAGAGATTTCGCATTCATAAAATGATGCCATCTTTATTTAAAAAAGAGCTTTCAGAGTGGAGACTATCACCCACAAACTAAAACAAAAAGATAAATATATGAAAAATAGGAGAGAAATATACAAATAAACATAATAAAATTAACAATAATGCAAGAGTTTCAAAATCCAATTCAGTTGTTTTGTAAAAGTCCCCCCAAAAAAGAGTAAAGAAAATGGAGATAAGAAAATTATCACAGTAGTAATGTAAAAAAATGCATTTATTATTAAATAATATATATTATTAAATAAATAATTTAATGTAAAAAATATATATGCATTATTAAATAATATATATTTATTATTAAATATATATATGTTTTTACATTACTACTATGATAATCTCTCCATTTTTATTCTTTCTTGAGGGAACTTTTACAAAATAACTGAATTGGATTTTGAAACTTTTGCATTATTTTTAATTTTATCATGTTTATTTCTGTATTTATCTCCTGTTTTTCATATCTTTATCTTTTTGTTTTACTTTGTGGGAGATTACACATGTGTACACACATTACACATATGTGTGTGTGTGTATATATATTCATATGTATATCCAAAATGAAAAACATACATTTACAGATTATAAGGGCCACATAAGTGCCCAGGAAGATGTCAAACAAACAAAAACACACTGTAAAATTGCAGAACACAAGGGATAAGGCGATCTTAAAGGTTTCCAGGATGTAATAAATCTGTCTTCTCTAGAACAATACTGGAAGCTGGAAGACAATGACTCTGCCTTTAGAAAGCTGAGAAAAATTATTTATAATTTAGAACTCTATACCTTGCCATTTAATATAAAATATTTCACCTCCTCTGTACCCATTTTCAGGAAACAAATGAAGGGTATGCTACATACACGAAAGTGAGAGGAAAATACAGTACATATCTGCTACATACTACTATGCTACAGAGGCTGCATACGCTACATGCACTAAAGCAATAGAGAAAATGCTATTCAACTCAGGAGGAAGAAAAAGGGAATTCCCAGAGTGAAGGTACAGGGAAGTCCCCGATGACAGCTGTACTGCAGCCAAGCCAGCACCTGTCCAGATGGGAGCAGGGGCTCTGGGTGCTCTAGGAGGGATGTTTCCAGGAGGAGCCAGGAGGGGCTAGATTATCTGATGGGCTTAACCACTCCGGAAGAAGTTTTATTAGTTCTATAAGAGAGATAATAGAAACAAGCATTATAAATTTGAGAGACAGGGGGGGGATTGTTAATTCCAGGAAAATGAGTTATGTAAGAAAAGAAATAAAACCATGGCATGTTTTGTTCCTCAAATGCAAAAAATGTTAAGTAACCAAAATCATGAGAACAATGATTATTACCATAGCTTGAGTCATAACAGTCATTAGAGTTCAGTCATATAGAAGTTTATTTCTTCTCTACTATAGAAGAATTCATAAAGTAATTACTAAAATGGAAAAATCAAGCAATAGCTATGTTACTTAGAAATAGAGAAGTTATATATTACTGAGAAATATAGAAATAGGTCGAATGTGGTGGCTCACACCTGTAATCCTAACACTTGGGAAGGCCAACACAGAAGGATCACTTGAGGCCAGGAGTTCGAGGCTGCATTGAGCTGTAATCCCCCTGCACTCCAGCCTGGGTGACAGAGCAAGACCCTGTCTCAAAAAGAAATAAGAAGAAATAAATTATTTTTTAAAAAAACTAATGTTCAAAACCATTTAAAAAACAATATGTAGATAATGTTATAAGCATTGGATTATGTTGAAAAGGGTGTTAATACACCAAGAACAAGGGGATTAATAAAATGAGTACAACACCACCTAAGTCCCTTAAATAATATTTTCACATATTTGCAGGGTACACAGAATATGTTATTACATGCGTAGACTGGGTAATGATCAAGTCAGGGTATCTGGGGTGTCCGTCACCTCCGGTATTTATTATTTCTATGTGTTGGGAACATTACAGTTTCCCTCATGTAGCTGATTTGAAATATGCAGTAGATTGTTGTTAACTCTAGTCATTCTACTCTATCAAACATTAATACTTATTCCCTCCAACTGTATGCTTGGATCTATTGACCAACCTCATGTCATCACACCAAAACACTCTTCTTAGCCTCTGCTATCTGGCATTCTCCCTACCTCCATGAAATCAACTTTTTCAGCTCCCACATACAAGTGAGAATGTATGATATTTGTCTTTCTGTACCCAGCTTATTTCACTTAACATGATGACCTCCAGTTCCATCCATGTTGCTACAAACAACATAATTTCATTCTTTTTTATGACCAAATAATATTCCATTGTGTATATATATATCACATTTTCTTTATTTGTTCATCCATTGATAATCATGTTACCTTTTAATGATGGTGGAATTAACTGTTTAAAAAAATAATACAAATCGGCCAGGCATGGTGGCTCACAACTGTAATCCCAACACTTTGGAAGGCTGTGGTGGGCAGATCACCTGAGGTCAGAAGTTCAAAACTAGCCTGGCCAACATGGTGAAACCCTGTTTCTACAAAAATACAAAAATGAGCCAGGCATGATGGTGGGTACCTGTAATTCCCGCTACTTGGGAGGCTGAGGCAGGAGAATCACTTGAACTCAAGAGGCAGAAGTTGCAATGAGCTGAGATCACACCTGTGCACTCCAGCCTGGGTGACAGAGTGAGGCTCTTGTCTCAAAAAAAAAAAAAAAAAAAAGCAAATCTTTGGATCATAAAACCCAATTCTTGAATGCCAGCTCTTAGCACATGCATATATACTGTATATAGGCCCTCGGTATGTATGGTTCTACATTGGTAGATGACACCAACCGTAGATCAAAAGCATTTGGAAAAAAAAATTGCATCTGTATTGAACATATACAGACTTTTTATTCTTGTCATGATTTTCTAAACAATATAATATAGCAACTATTTCCATAGCATTTCCATGTAATAGGTATTATAAATAATGTCAAGATGATTTAAAGTGTATGGGTGAATGTGCATAGGAAGTATGCAAATACTACAACATTTGGTATCAAGGACTTAAGCATCCATGGGTTTTGGTATCCAAGGGAAGACCTGGAACCAATCCCCCAGCAGATACTAAGAGATGACTGTATTGCATTGATTGATTGGAATGAAAGTGATGTATTTGTGAAGTAGAGTCTGAGCCAAGATTATTTATTTATTTATTTAGAAACAGAGTCTTGCTTTGTCGCCCAGGCTGAAGTGCAGTGGCACAATCTCGGCTCACTTCAATCTCCACCTCCCTGGTTCAAGCAATTCCCCTGCCTCAGCCTCCCTAGTAGCTGGGATTACAGGTGCACACCACCACACCTGGCTAAATTTTTGTATTTTTAGTAGAGACAGGGTTTCACCATGTTGGCCAGACTTGTCTTGAACTCCTGACCTCAGGCAATCTGCCCACCTCGGCCTCCCAAAGTGCTGGAATTACAGGCATGAGCCACTGCGCCAGGCTAAGATTCATTTCTTATTGATTAAAGAAGTTAGTCTTGCTCTTAGTGTAGATTTGTTCAGTTTATATTTTGGCATTGCTCACGTAGCCAAAATATTTCTACACCCATTTTCTCGTACTTTGAGCTTGCTATATTTCATAAATGAGGCTCAATAAATGTCATACATTCAAGGAAATGAAATATTTGTCAAGGTATAACCTAGCCATTTATCAACACATGTTGCTTCAGTTTCTCTCATCCGTGTACATGTAATTGTTGGATAAAGCCTGTTGCATTCCCCTGCAGGAGCTTCAGAGAGACATAGAGAAGCATAGTACCGGTGTGGCATCTGTCCTCAACCTGTGTGAAGTCCTGCTGCATGACTGTGACGCCTGTGCCACTGATGCTGAGTGTGACTCCATCCAGCAGGCCACGAGAAACCTGGACCGGCGGTGGAGAAACATTTGTGCTATGTCCATGGAAAGGAGACTGAAGTGAGCTGGGATGCTGAAACAGAGAGGGAAGAGGGAAAGGCCCAAAAGAAACAAAAAATCACCCCGAGTATCCATTGTTCACTATTTCCTGTTGGTATTTCCAAAAACACCTGTGGCTTCCCAAACTTGCTATTGTCTACATTTAGTTGGGAAAATAAGTAGATATAAAGGTAATATATAAATATAACGCGCCAAGTTATGTCTGACCTCACAGTTTAAATATAATATGGGAACATAAAAATACACGCCTGCCAAACAAGCATAACATCACAGGATGTGTGGCTGTGAAAACAGTAACATTCTTTCATGAAAAATTAAATAATAAAAACACACTTATCTTGAAACCCTTTGAAATTGAAGGTGGCAGACAATCTTGCTGTATTACCAGGTGATCATCATGGCCATGTTCTCCGGTAAACTGTTGAAAGCTTGGTATCTGTCCTGCTGTCACAGATTGACTTTTGTCAGTGTGAGCTGAATGTTGGACTTAAATGGATTTTCAGACCACGTTTTGATTTCCGTCACACATGGCCTGAGTGCACACTGTAAACCTGTTGTTGCTTTTCTAAACTTCTTGCACACATCCAAGACAGCTCATGTGATCTGCTTATAATATTCAATTTGACTAATTCAAAATCCAGAGCTGCAGGACATGTTTTAAAAAAATTAAAACAGCTGTTTTATTTTAGCTCCAACAGTTGTCTCTCTTGCTCTCTGGTCAAATTTGGCTCGAGGCATGGTCATTGTTTGGCACAACAGTTGCTTCTGTGGGCACCTTTAATCCAGTCACAGGCATCAGTCCCGGTTCCGTAGTGAAAACAGTCTCCAGTAATCAGAATCTGTTCTTTCATTTTCTGCCTCAGAATCGAAGAGACGTGGCGATTGTGGCAGAAATTTCTGGATGACTATTCGCGTTTTGAAGATTGGCTCAAGATTTCAGAAAGGACAGCTGCTTTTCCCAGCTCTTCTGGAGTGATATATACAGTTGCCAAGGAGGAACTAAAGAAATTTGAGGTGATTTATAATTCCAAATTTTTAAGCCTCATTTTGCTATTAAAGTAGCCAGGTGGCAGCTGGAGTTCCAAGACCCAAACTAGCTGTTCACCCACACGTTATCTGTTCAAATTGCTGGGTGACGACTTTGCAGCCAGCTTTATTATGACCTCATAAGTAGGCAAAGAAGGGGCAAACAGAGGTTTATGTTTTAAGATTATCAAGAAGCATAAATAATGTAGTAATGAAGAGAGATTTATTAGAAAAGAATCATGATTACTCCCAAAAGATCTTGGCACAATTTTTATTTCAGAGTTATTCCACAATCAGCCATCTTTTCTAAGATTAAAATATGACGTTTTTATACTATAAAAATCTATCTTCCAAATACATTTTTGTATTTTCTTTACCTAATCGCAGTGTGTGTGTGTGTGTGTGTGTGTGTGTGTGTGTGTGTGTGTGTGTGTATACATGTCATTGATAAATGAGTTGGCTCTAGAATGGAATTAAAACATTTTCATTATAATTCATTTCTAAGTACACAGTGAAGAGTAGTACTGGTCTTGAGTCACCAAAAGTTTTCAGTTACACTAACACAAAAATAGCTGTAGTGTAATCATATTCATAAAGAAAGAAATCATCTAATAATTGATTCCAGTACCTTGCTTGTTTGCATAATCTTGAGTCCACTCTGTCACTGTTATACAATGAAGCTCCGACTTCTCAGCCACTGTTCATTTTCATGGAAGACCTGACCTAGTCCAAAGTTGACCATTTTTAAATTTGAAGATGTTTTTCCCTTCAATTCCCACTGCTAGGCAGTTGTGTACTCAGATGTATTGACTGCAAAGAGTTCAGACGCATGCTGACCATTTTCAGTTGCTAATTCTGCCCCAAGCTCCTCGAGATGTTTAGAAATAACACTGTAAATCCAATGAAATCTAACTGCATTCACTTTTACCTTGCAACATCGGGTAACAGCCATTTACTGAGGCCTATGATGGGAAATACGAAGTTTGCTTTTTATTCTTAATGGAGTTTACAATCTCAGGGTTGTATATGAACAGCTATATGAATCTAGAAAAATGTTTACATACTGTGTAAAATGAATGAATTCCTCTGATGTCTGAATGGTGAATGAATTTATATATAACTAGACCATTACATTAGAATAAACAATACTTTTATTCATATAAAAGATGTTCCCTTAGAAAACTACTAGTAAAAAACACAATAAACTCTGCAATAGATTCCAGGTCATCTCAATGTGAATGAATGTGGTGGAAGAGCTGCTCAACTGCATCTTCCTACACTCAGCTTCATAAAGGTTAAAACCTTTTATAATTGGCTTACACTGCAAAGCAGATTATATAAGATTCTCTCTGATGCTATTTTAGACTCTCAGATTGTATAGCAAAAGTTAGCCTTGTAGTTAGCTTCTATAATGATTGATTTTATTATGTAGCATAAATTTTGTAGTTAATTTTCTTAAAAGACAGAAATAAACAGCAGAAACAAAGCTGTGCTTGTGGGCAGCCTTCAGCTGGTTCAATCACATGAACATTTGGGATGGATGTGGGTGTATTGAGGTTTCTGCCTGGGGGTACTCCATCCTCACCCCAATGAGTAAACATGTACTGTGACTTCCGGTCATGGCCAGAGCTGAACTTTCCTTACCACTCCCTTTGCTGGAGAAATAACTTAAGGCTTTTAGCCTGGAAGCTGAGATTTCCTAGGATGAAGGCTCTAAAAGCAGCTCTCAGAAGGAAAACCATTTAAGGGGCAGAGATGTGGTCGCATGTAAACAGCATGATGAGCCAAGGAAAGCAGAATTTGGGGATTTGATGAGTGCAGTTCAATTTATTAATTATAATTTTCTTTTTGGTCTAATGCCAAGATAAAAATCAGTCATAAATCATACAAATGATTTTTTTAAAGCTTCATTTTATTTTGGCCAAATGATTCTTTTTTTTTTTGAGACAGAGTCTTGCTCTGTCACCAGGCACCAGGCTGGAGTGCAGTGGCGCGATCTCAGCTCACTGCAACCTCCACCTCCCGGGATCAAGCAATTCTCCTGCCTCAGCCTCCCAAGTAGCTGGGACTATAGGCACGCGCCACCACAACCAGCTAATTTTTTTATTTTTTTAGTAGATACAGGGTTTCACCATGTCGGCCAGGATGGTCTCGATCTCTTGACCTTGTGTTCCACCTGCCTCGGCCTCCCAAAGTGCTGGGATTACAGGTGTGAGCCACGGCATTCAGCCAAATGATTCTTATGCTATAGGGCTCTCTTATATTGCAGGGAAAAAGCAGAAAAGAGTATTTTACCTTCAGAATCTCTAAACTGTCCCTGGGATAGCCTCAAAAGTAAATAGATGCTACTGTGTAGAGTGGTGCACTAGCTCTAATATGTTTTATAAAAACTGAATAACTCACGGGAACAACAAAAAATAAACAGAGCATGTTCCAAACTTTTTTAAATTATAAAGTTACTTGTAGGTTACTAAATTACATTTCTTAAAAGCTTATAATAGCTTGTTTTTTTTTTTGTTTTTTTTTTTTTTTTGAAGGTCTTTTGCAAAGGTAGTTTTAAGGATTTTCCTAATGGACAACAGAATTGAGGCAATTTCTAGATTTTTAGAAAAGTACATATTTTACAAATAAACAGTTCCATTGTAGATATCTTTTCTCTGTATTGACACCAGAAACCTTGAACATTTCAAATTCACATTTCCATATACGTGTATATTTTTATAGTGGTTTGCTTTGTGGAAATATTTGTTTCTAGGACATTAATTACTTTAAAAGCTATGTGTATATGTATATGTGTGTTGTGTGTGTGTGTGTGTGTGTGTGTATTTATTACTACTCTCCATTTTCACATTTTTTTTATTGATTCACTCCCTTTCCTTAAGCTATGCTGACTAAATTACTTGGCTTTAACAAGGGGAAGTGTACCCTCATTACATGTCATTCTTTCCCTTCATGGAAGTATAACTTCCCATTCTCCCAGACACTACAATAAAAACAATCAGGAGCCACTACTGAGAGTCCTTCGCTGATTTCCCACACTGATATGACTTCTCTGTGGCCATAGGCTTTCCAGCGACAGGTCCACGAGTGCCTGACGCAGCTGGAACTGATCAACAAGCAGTACCGCCGCCTGGCCAGAGAAAACCGCACCGATTCAGCCTGTAGCCTCAAACAGATGGTTCACGAAGGCAATCAGAGATGGGACAACTTGCAGAAGCGTGTCACCTCCATCTTGCGCAGACTCAAGGTTTTTGCTGTGCCTCCTCTGTAATTTAGAGGCCGGAGGATGGGATTGGGCTGTTTGAATGCCATCTTGAGACTCAGTCTCAGTGATTTTGTAAGATTGGGATGGCAGGAGTAGGAAACAAGAGGAGTGAGAAGGCAAAGGATAGCAGGTTTCTCATTGCTTGCTGAGAAAATGACTTTACAGAACACTGGAATTCGCTGTGCCATCTCCATATGTTTAAAGAGACTTTTAGTAAAAATAATTATTACTTTCCTCTTGCCTTCCAGCATTTTATTGGCCAGCGTGAGGAGTTTGAGACTGCACGGGACAGCATTCTGGTCTGGCTCACAGAGATGGATCTGCAGCTCACTAATATTGAACATTTTTCTGAGTGTGATGTTCAAGCTAAAATAAAGCAACTCAAGGTAATAGATTGTTTTTCAAATTATCAATTTGAAGAAAGCATGGAAAGGAAAGGATTTATGGCTCTTTTTGTGAAGAACATAGCAAATAACTTTTCTTTTGAAAAATTAGTTCTGAACTGCAAAAAAAATTCAGAAAATATAAAAGATACAAAAAATAAGATAAAGAGTGTTACCCAGAGATAACCACTGTTGCTTATCTCTTACTGCTCTGTATCTTATTTGATATTGATATTGTTGTTGATATTTTTAATCAACTTGCTTGCCAGGCTGTTAGGGATATTCTGCTGTTGTTGTTTTGTTTTGTTTTGTTTTTAGAGAGAGTCTCACTCTGTTGCTTAGGCTGGAGTGCAGTGGCACAACCTTGTCTCACTGCAATTGAACCTCTGCCTCCCAGGTTCAAGCAATTCTTCTACCTCAGCCTCCTTAGTAGCTGGGATTACAGGTGCACACAACCATGCCCAGCGACGTTTTGTATTTTTGTATTTATTTTAGTAGAGATGGAGTTTCACTATGTTGGCCAGGCTGGTCTCTAACTCCTGACCTCAAGTGATCCGCCTGCATTGGCCTCCCAAAGTTCTGGGATTACAGGCGTGAGAGCCGCGCCTGGCCTTGTTGTTTTTGTTTGTCTTTCCTGATTTGTTCGTAGCAACTTCACATGGTTCCTTTGGCCTCCGTGTCGCAAAGCAATACAACATTCTTATGTCGGGATTCCATTCCTCATAGTCTACATTCTTAGATGCCAAGTGAATTTTAAATACATTTTTTATTTTTCACTGTATAATTCAAACACAGTGGCTAGCTAGAAATTTGAATAGGAGGGATATACATTCGATGTATGGATTTCCTAAAAGGGAGAATGTTTAACACGTTGAATATTTTCCAAGGCAGCTTATGAAATGTTCTTCCCAAGATAGATGGATTTTTTTAAAGAGTGGTCATGATGCCCACAACCTTTGGGCTGTTATAATCAAACAAGGAACTTGCCCTTAGTCATAGATTCTCAGGACGGAAGAAACAGTAAACCCTGCTCTTCTGCCTCACCCTTTCCTCTGTTTCCTCTCTGCTGTCATCTCACAGGCAAATCAATATTTGCATCCTTCCACAGAAAGTTTCTGCCAAGCCCTAATTGAATCTTGTCTCTTTGGACCCTGGCAGGATGATGGAACCTATTACTACCCTCCCTTCTCTCCTGGCAGTCTTTTTCACCATTGGACAATTCAACTTCTCCCCAGTTTATTATCACATTGAATTAAAAGTGAACACTGAGGTTGGGTGTAGTGGCTCACCTCTGTAATCCCAGCCCTTTGGGAGGCTGAAGTGGATGGATTACCTGAGGTCTGGAGTTCAAGACCAGCCTGGCCAACATGGTGAAGCCCCGTCTTTACTAAAAGTACAAAAATTAGCCAGGAGTGGTGGTGGGCACCTGTAATCGCAGCTACTCAGGAGACTGAGGCAGGAGAATAGCTTTAACCTGGGAGGCAGAGGTTGTGGTGAGCCAAGATCATGCCACTACACTCCAGCCTGGGTGACGAGAGCGAGACTCCATCTCAAAAAAAAGGGGGCGGGGGGAAACACTGAAACATGACCTCAGTGATTTAAATCTTTTGCAACACACAGAATGAGTCTAAATAATCCTCCCAGAATTCCTTGTTTTTCAAATCATTATAACTTTCCCTGCCTATGTCCTGAAATAACAAAACAGCCACCTGAGAAGAATGTGTGACATCAGATGGCTTCTCTTAGTCATGTTTGACATAGGATGAGGACATCTGAAATTAAAATGTTCAGAATATTTCTTTAAAATGCCAAATCTATTTCAGTGGCAGTGTGTGGATTCCCATTGCTTTCCTCAAGGATAACCAGTGCTATCAACTTAATATTGAGTTTGAATATTTTTTCCTGTTATTCTCCACTCATGCTATCTGTGATGGTAAATTGCATTAGCCCAAAGTGCTTTTCTTGTCATGTAATTTGAATGTTTCTATTTATGACTCCTGCTCTGGCTTAAAATGTGTATGTTTTACTTTAGACGGTGATAGCCTCCTGGCTTGTGATTGTATATGGTAAATTAAATAGCCCCTACATGTCTTTTTTAATCTAATGAGAAATATATTACGATTCTCATATCAATGTAAGCAACAACAACAACAAAATCACATGAGCTTTGCACTCCCTAGGCCTTCCAGCAGGAAATTTCGTTGAACCACAATAAGATTGAGCAGATAATTGCCCAGGGAGAACAGCTGATAGAAAAGAGTGAGCCCCTGGATGCGGCGGTTATCGAGGAAGAGCTGGATGAGCTCCGACGGTACTGCCAGGAGGTCTTCGGGCGTGTGGAAAGATACCATAAGAAACTGATCCGCCTGCCTGTATGTAACGATTTTTTTTTCTTAGTTGTCATTCCATCTAAAGAGAATAAATCATGTGGCATTGAGTTGTATTGTATAGTGGGTAAGAGCCCAGATCCTGGAGCAAGAGCACCTGGGTTCAAGTCCTAACTTTGTCCTGCATTGTCGCTGTAATCTTGGACAAGCTACTTTTTTTTTTTTTTGTAATGGAGACAGGGTTTCACCATGTTGGTCAGGCTGGTCTCGAATTTCTGATCTCGGGTGATTTGAGACCTTGTCCTCCCAAAGTGCTGGGATTACAGGTATGAGCCACCGTGCCTGGCCTTGGGCAAGCTACTCACTTCACCTTTCTTGCCTCAGCTTCCTCAAAGGCAAAACTGGTTTAGTAGCAGTAACTACCTTGTAGAAAGGATTGTTTTGAGCACAAGATGAGTTAATGTATACAAAGAGCTTAGAAGAACATTTGTCTCATCTCTTCTATGGAAGACAGAGAAGCCTCTAGAAGAAATAAGGTGAAATGAAGCAATGTGAACAGCTTCTCAATTGATAAGGTTAGGGTTAGGTGGATTTTTGTTCTTCTGTTTTCCTAATTGCTGCCATAATCACATCTTACCTATAGAGATGTTATGATTAGAATATGTGGAATCTTCTACAATCAAATCCGTTTTGTATCTGGGCCATAAGGACAAGCTGAGGTCTCAGTAGTTTGATCTTATTTCCAATCTGTGCCATTGTGTAGCTGTTCTGTGGTAGGCATGATACTAGATTACCTTTCGTTATAAAATTTCTTTAATCTCATCTAAATGATCTGAAGTAGGTTTTAACGTTATTCCATTTTACCAACAATGAAACTGAGGCTTATGTAAAATAATTTATAAGACTTTTTAATTTTTTACCACACAGAAACCCTCTGGGGTGCCTAGGAGTGTTATTCCCATTTTATAGATGAGAAAACTCAGGCCCAGAGGAATTAAGTTCCTCATCCAAGCTTAAACAGGAAGTACACGGCAGGACTGAGATTTCAACCCAGACAGGCAGACTCTAGCACTATCCCATGTAGTTCTGTGATCAGAAGATTCTTAATGTATTTTTTCATAAGAAGTTAAAAATTGTCCCCACTTGGTAGGCAGGTGGCCCAGATGAGAAGCTAGCCTGACCACTGCAGTGACGGGGTTGCCTTGACTTCCTTTCTAGCTCCCAGACGATGAGCACGACCTGTCGGACAGGGAGCTGGAGCTGGAAGACTCTGCGGCTCTGTCGGACCTGCACTGGCAAGACCGCTCTGCAGACAGCGTGCTTTCTCCGCAGCCTTCCTCCAACCCCTCCCTCTCACTCGCTCAGCCCCTCCGGAGCGAGCGGTCGGGACGAGACACCCCGGCTAGCGTGGACTCCATCCCCCTGGAGTGGGATCACGACTATGACCTCAGTCGGGACCTGGAATCTGCAGTGTCCAGAGCTCTGCCCTCTGAGGATGAAGATGGTCGGGACGACAAAGATTTCTACCTCAGAGGAGCTGTTGGCTTATCAGGTAGGAAAGAACATCTCTGGTGTGTCAGCTTAAAGCAAAGTCAGAGGAAATTAGTATTGCCCTGGAATCATGACAGCTATCCAGAATCATTTGCTTCCTTCTCCCATGTGGGGAAATTGTACCTAAGTGAACTCTTAGATGTGAATGTGCTTATCAAATGCAAAATTTGGTGTGGCCATTGATTTATTCCACACAGATTTGTGGTAGTAGGTGACGAGCACTTTGCCAGTTCCTGAGGATACACAATTCCTCTTCTTCTCCCAGAGCTTCTGCTCTAGTGTGGGACACTGGCAAATAAGTGAGAAACCACTGCGTGAAGTGTTTGGTGCCGAGATGGCAGTGTGGTGGCAGGACACACAAGCAGGGACAACAGAGCCGGAGCCCTGGCTTTGGGGGCTTCAGGGAAGAAACTGGGGAGCTGAGGCCAGAGGGTGAATCGCAGTCAGTCAGGTGGCTCACTAGTGCTTACAGGAACAAAGGAGAGGAAGCCTCCCTGCTTTGTGATTGGCTGGTGCTTTTGAACATCTGCAGTTTGTCTGGAATGGCAGGCAGGGAATGGACAAAGTGGAGAAGAACCTGGCTGTAAAGCAGCCTGTTCAGCGTGGTAAAGAGCTTTGGCTCCTATCCTGAAGGTTGTGGAGCCACAGCAGGATCTGCAGAGGGAGGTGATGGTATCCTCCCTTCTCAGGGATGTGCATATTTTCATATTGTATCTTTCTGGATACCACAGGGAGGAGGGCATATTGGAGGTGGGAGTCCAGATGAAACCTTTACAACCTCAGAGAGAGGTAGGATGGTGGCCTGAACTAGGGAAGCAGCACTGGGAAGGGAGAGAATGGCAGACATGTGAGAAATCACACAGAGGAGACTCCTCCATAACTCTCATCCATTGAACTGGGATGCAGGCGATTTTCCGGGCTGGGCAACTTGGTGAAAGATGCAGGTGGTCCTAGCCCCTGAGGACCACATAAGGGAAGGAGCACTGTGGGTGTTTCTGGGCAAGGGAGGTGGAGCTGTGAGAGCAGGGAGGGGATGAGGTTGCTTGTGTGCATCCTGATCTTGAGATACCTGCAGAATATCCACACACAAAAGTCCAGTCATAGATGCGCAGGTGTGAAGTGCAGAAGCCGGAAATGCAGATTAGGTAGTTATCCACATGTAAATGGTCATGGTCGTGGAGTGAATGGAGGGGCTCACACAGGAAGAATATGGAAAAGGGAAACAAGAAAGACCACCACCCAAGCCACACATGCAGTGAAGGGATGGACAGAGAAACAGGAACACTGCAAGGAAGGTAAATAAAAATAGAATAAATAGTTGGAGGCTGATTTATGGCACTTGGAAATGCATCTCATACATTCTCTAAAAGGACATCTGGGGGATTTCTGTTTGGTTCTGATGGTTCACATCAGATTCCCAAGGGATGACACTGTCCTAAAAAGAAAATAATTTATCTCATTTCTATTTTGTTTTTACAGTAGGACCTATTAGTCAGGCATATGGCATCTGAAGCAGAGCCATCCAAAACTAGCCACTGGCCAGTTGGGACTCTTGAGCACTGAGACAGGACTGGGCGAATTGAGATGGATTGCACATGGAAAACACACTTCTGTGAATTTCAGAGACTTAGTACAAAGAAAGAAAATAAAACATTTATAATAATTATGTTGATTACATGTTACCATCTCTATCTTTAACACTAAACACTATTTTTAACACTAAAATATAGTGTTAAAATGAATTTTGTATATTTCTTTTTATGTTTTTGTTTTTGTTTTTTGAGATGGAGTTTCGTTCTTGTTGCCCAGGCTGGAGTGCAATGGAGCAATCTTGGCTCACTGCAACCTCCCAGATTCAAGTGATTCTCCTGCCTCAGCCTCCTGAGTAGCTGGAACTACAGACGCATGCCACCACACCCAGCTAATTTTTGTGTTTTTAGTAGAGATGGGGTTTCTCCGTATTGGTCAGGTTGGTCTCAAACTCCCAACCTCAGGTGATCCGCCTGCCTTGGACTCCCAAAGTGCGGGGATTACAGGTGTGAGCCACCGCACCCAGCTCTTTTTACATTTATAATGTAGCTATGAAATCTTTAAAATTACATATATAGTTCACATAGAAACATATGGGACAGCTCTGCTCTAGAGTCTGACTGTCTGGGCTGAAATCTCAGTTCTGCTGTGTACTTTCTGTTTAAAGTTGGATAAGGAACTTAATTGCCCTGGGCCTCAGTTTTCTCATCTATAAAATGGGAATAACACTCCCAGCTACCCTGTAAGGTTTCTGTGTGGTAAATTTGTGCTTCAACCAGTGCCTGGCTCATAAAAACACTTTCACTGTGAGTTCTTACGATTCACTTCAGGAAGCCATTGGTGAGTCTGCACACACTCTCCTCTGGGTGCCCAGGAGCTCTGTGTCTAGAATAACTGACTTCCTTTCTTCCCCCTAGGAAAGTTATTTTCCTGCACAAGGGAATCAAGGTTTCCAGAACTTAGCTGTCAACTTAGACTGTGCTTTTTTTGCAGATGTAATGATCCCTGAAAGCCCCGAGGCCTATGTAAAACTCACAGAAAATGCAATCAAAAATACCTCTGGTAGGCACGACAAGCCGGAGCCAGCCTCCCTCCCTCCCCGTATAACAAGCCTCCTCTCTTAGCACATCTGCTGTATCTCTCACGGCTTTGTGGCTCTAGCATGTTAAGACACAGCCTTCCTCTCTTACTGCTGTACTAGAATAAATGACTGGTTAAATCCACACCAAGAATAAGATTTCACTAATCAAGTGGAACAAAATAGCTTTTCAAGTTGTTAAATGGTAATTGGTCTCATTAAGTATAGACCTCTCATGCCCATTAACTGCAGAAAATATGAGAAGGAAACCCCAGTCATCAGCCTCTGTGCCGTAGTATTCTACGTGGTGTGGTAACTTGGGCTTCACTGCACGTAGACCTACTGTGGCTAGAGAGTCAGGGTGCAGACTCTGGTCCCAAATCTGCCAGCCTGCATGAGTGACCTTGGCCACATCCACCACTTCATCCTCCTCATCTCAGGAATCCCATATGAGACAAGGGGTGAGATCAGATTTCAGCTCAAAAAGAATGTGTAATTTTAATTTCAAAAGTCTTATAAAATAATTTGAAATGAAAAATGTATTCCACGGTATCTTGAGCCATAGATTTTCCTGTAAAGACAGAACTTTTCCTGAAACAAGAAGAATTCAAGTAAGAAAAATGGAACCAGTTTTTCTTAATGTTGTGTTAGACAAACTGTAGTTCAGGAGTTGAGGATCAGTAATGTGGGATGGAGAATAGAGCTTGAACGCAGTCATGTGATACTGAATCATGGAGTTACTAGTTTACACTTCAGTTTTGAAAAAAAGTGAAAAGACAGAAAGCAAAGTAACATTACTGAGAGAGTGGTTCTCAGTGAGACCTCTCCTGGGTGTATTTAGAAGGCCTTTTTTAGAAATCAATAACCTTAATAAGGCTTACTAATATTTTTTCTGCTTTCAGCCCATGCTAGCTTCACTCTGGTGATCAAATGTTCTTGTGTAGTTTAGACTTTGTTATACACACACACACAACTATAATTTTACAAAGAAATGTTACAATTCTGAGAGGAGAATGAGCCAGAATTCTAGGCTATAAGAACCTGCCTAGACGGAAATGCTAGAATCTTAGCTTTCTCCTGGTTTTGTTTTAGATCTTAGATAAAAGCAAGTTGTTGCTAGTTTGATATCTCCATATATATCTATTCTGAGGCACTTTTTTCTTAATGAATGAATTTATCCCTTAAGTAAATGAGGCAGCAACGACACTGAAAGCAAGCCTTCCATGACACTGTCTTCCCCTGAGGTGCACAAAGAAAACTCAGAAGGAGGATCTTCCCCTGCTCATTAAGTGACAGCAGAAAGAACATGAGAAAAAAACAGCTTTTTCCTTGCTGAGAAGCAGCAGACACCATTGCAGATTTTTAGAAAGGCCTTTCACTTTGGCAACATTCAGACGATGAGGGATTCAGCTGGAAGAGGGACAGGTGCCCGAAGCTATTCAAAACTGACTGGAGAGTTGTTTTGCAATGTCCAAGCTGCTAGGGCTCTCAAACACCTTCATCAGTTTGGCCATTTTAATGTCTAACCCACCAGCACGATGGTACTAAATTTGCTTTGTAGTTACCCACACCTGCAGTTTCTATGCTGCTGTAACTGAAAACCATTTCTGAAACTTCTCCTTGAAGATCGAGCTTTGAATAAGTCCAATAGTTTGTCTGGTAAAGATTCTTATGGTTGCTACCGCAGGGGACCACAGTGCCCTAGAGTCACAGATCCGACAGCTGGGCAGAGCCCTGGATGAGAGCCGCTTTCAGATACAGCAAACCGAAAATATCATTCGCAGCAAAACTCCCACGGGGCCGGAGCTAGACACCAGCTACAAAGGCTACGTAAGTATCCTGGCCATCCTGATCCTGACCTGTAGGAAACCACAGTTCTGTGACAAAGAACAGTTTGTCTGCAGCACAAGGGCTTTAGGTAGACTCTGAATACCATGCTGCCCTTGAACTCATGAATGTGGATGTGCAAAGCCAAGCCCTGTTTAAGTTACCATTTGAGCAGAACGTGTCTGGGTTTAGGGCCACAAACCTATTGTAATGACAAACCTGTTCCTTTACACTGAGCACTGAGGGAGATCCTTTTCATGGACAGCAACAAAATACTTTGGCTCCCAAGAGTCATTAGGCATTTCTCCAAATTCAACTAATAATTTTTGGACCAAGGTTATCCTTGGAGCAGCAGATTTTAGCTAATAGATTACTAACATGCAGTTTTTTTGTGAATGACCTTGGGGATGTTTTTCTCTTCTGTTTTTTAGTATGCTCAGTTCTAACAAGAGGGAGTTGGGGAAAAGAGAGCAAGGCATTGGCTATACTACCAGTTCCAGCTATGCAGCTATTAGCTATATATGATAAAGTCTATCAGAGCGTGATTTGCCCTACTCGAGTTACTGACCCGATAATTTTTCTCAGACAACTACCTGTTTTCCTACACATACTTAAGGAGGAGAATTTTAAAGCCAGTCTCTTCCCTGCCTCATGTCTTCTTCACATCCAAAAGACTTCTTAGTATAAAAAAAGAAAAATGAATTTCTCCAAAGCTAGTCACAACTCACCTGTTCTACTTTTTAAAATTAGGGAAGAGAACTGTTCTAGCTACGTATGTTGATTTCGTTATCCTCACCATAACAGGGGTCAGTCATGAGTTTGTTTCCTATTCAGTTTGGCCTATTACACCAACTTGTATTACAGTGAAACTACTTCTTAAAAATACATATGATATAGTTTTATGATAATCCTGCTGACATCGCTGGGATTACACTTAACCTCAGCCAAAAGTAATCAAAGTAACTTAATGGCATTGTGATTTCTTAAAGGCTTTATGGTAAGTACAGCAGGAATATCTTGAAACGATTTGTTCTTTTAATCTTTAAATACTGTATGTGATATTAAAAATGAATTGGGAAGCTTTTCTTTGACTTTAGAATGCAGTCCCCTGATACCTAATAAACATTGCTTCCATTTTTAAATAAAACAGCTGGCTTTGCTAGTGCTCTATAATTTTAAGTATTTTAATTTTTTAATGCAAGAAAGTTCCCGTGAGACTTGTGGTAACATTATCATTCCCACATTTCAATTTAAGAAAGAGAAAGAGGGAGCAGCTTGCCAAAAATTATATACTGCATTGCCAGCTGAGGGCTCTGAGTTTTAAATCGCAGATTGGTTTAATCTGTTTTGATTCATGAATCTTAAAGAAATTTCAAGGACTTCTCATGCAAAGTCATGTATGCAAAGTCTATTTTTAAGGCGTTGCTTTTTGTATGTGAATGTATCACCAGTTTAAAAGGCATGTTTTTGAACTTTGTTTATTTAAGTTTTTTTTTTAAGACACATGGTCTCATACTCTGTCACCCAGGCTCTAGTGCGGTGTCAGGATCTTTGCTCACTGCGTGCAGCTGAATTCCTGGACTCAAGCAACCTTCTCACCTTAACACCCTGAACAGCTGGGACTACAGGTGCTCACCACCATGCCTGGCTAATTTTTTAAATATTTTATAGAGACGGGGTCTCGCTATGTTGCCCAGGCTGGTCACGAACTCCTAGGCTCAAGTGATCTTCCCACCTTGACCCCCAAAGTGCTGGGATTAGAAGCGAGAGCCACTGTGCCCAGCCTAACTTTGTTTGTTTTTTCTTTTTTATTTTTTTGAGACTGAACCTCACTGTCAGAGAGGCCGGAGTGCAGCAGTACAATCATGGCTCGCTGCAGCCTCGATCCCCTGGACTGAGATGATCCACCTCAGCCTCCCAGGTAGCTGAGACTACAGATGTACATCACCATGCCCAGCTATTTTTTGTATTTTATGTAGAGATAGGGTTTTGCCATGTTCCCCAGGCTGGACTCAAACTCCTGAGTTCAAACAGTCTTCCTGTGCTGGGATCACAGGCCTGAGCCCACTTGGCCATCTTATTTTTAGCAGGGTGACACAGAGGACCCAAACACAGACACTTCACTTGCTGAGAAACTACTAAGATATTTTTCCCCAGAATCTTTTGCACTCATGAAGATTTGGGTGACAGGGGCTGGTTGTTTATGTCTGAACAGATGAAACTGCTGGGCGAATGCAGTGGCAGTATAGACTCGGTGAAGAGACTGGAGCACAAGCTGAAGGAGGAAGAGGAGAGCCTTCCTGGCTTTGTGAACCTGCATAGTACCGAAACCCAAATGGCTGGTGAGTGCATAGCGCTCGGTTCAAGAAACAGTGAATGAAATAGAAGATCCAGAAGCACTTCGTGAACAGCCAAGTTCCACTGAGGCTGCATGGCCTTCTACACCATTCTGTCCTAAGAACTTCCTTCCAACTTATTTATAACAGTCTCCTTTGACAGTGAGGGGAATGATGCATGCCATCATGGTTGTTTTGTCCGTGTTTCATTTATTGTTATTATTATTATGTGAGACAGAGCCTTGCTCTGTCAGCAGGCTGGAGTGCAGTGGCACAATCTTGGCTCACTGCAACCTCTGTCTTCTGCATTCAAACAATTCTCCTGCCTCAGCCTTCTGAGTAGCTGGGATGATGGGTATGCAGCACCACACCGGGCTAATTTTTTTTGTATTTTTAGTAGAGACAGAGTTTCACCATATTGGCCAGGATGGTCTCGAACTCCTGACCTCATGATCCACTGCCTCGGCTTCCCACAATGCTGGAATTACAGGCATGAGCCACCACGCCACCACACCTTATTATTATTTTTTTAATATTGATATGAGGTGTCACTATGTTGCCCAGGCTTGACTCCAACTCCTGAGCTCAAGTAATCCTCCCGCCTCCCCTCGAGGAGCTGGGATTACAGGCACTCACTGCCACCCCGCCTCTCATGTTCCAATTATTTTAATGCCCTGTCTCTCACATATCTCATCAGGCATTTTATGTGCGTTTGCTCAGAGCCCTATTCTAGAAGGGATCCAGGAATTGAATGACACTTCATGCACATGACTGCTTATTACTTTGTAAAGCTCTTTACAGTGTTAACTCCCATGTAGCTAACTTTTTTGCTTCATTATTATTAGAAACACAAATAGAAAAAACACAGCCATTGTACCCATGTAACTGTTATTTCCAGACAACAACAAAAATGCCCAGTGCAATTACTTTTCTTTCTGTTGCTATTTAAAGTTAGCTGCCAACCTGTGTTTAAAGCATTTCACAAACGTCACATGTGGAGGAAAAGAATCTCACTATTCTCTGGATGTCTTGCCAGGTGTGATTGACCGATGGGAGCTTCTCCAGGCCCAGGCACTGAGCAAGGAGTTGAGGATGAAGCAGAACCTCCAGAAGTGGCAACAGTTTAACTCGGACTTGAACAGCATCTGGGCCTGGCTGGGGGACACGGAGGAGGAGCTGGAGCATCTCCAGCATCTGGAGCTCAGCACTGACATCCAGACCATCGAGCTCCAGATCAAAAAGCTCAAGGTAGCTCCCCTTGCCTTTCCCACAGCAGACAAACAGTGTCACTGCATGAATGACAGTGCAGACGGCACCTCTAGCTCGAGCTGCTCTTACACAGCAGCAGAAAAGGGATCTAACAAAAATGAGTGAGAATGCTCTCCTCACATCCAGCCAGCCCAAATCCCTGTGTTCCAAAGATGGTTTTCAAAGGCAGAAAATGGACCACGTTGTAGAACTATCCACCATGTAAATAATCACGCACGATCTAAAAACTGGTATTTTAAGAAATGTCTAATTAAAGTTTCATGGGGCATCCAGGTACCCCTAGGACCTATGAGAACTCTTTTTAATGGAAATACAGAATGACCCGGGTGCTGCAGGTCTATACCTAGAGTTGGAGATAAATCTTCTCCAAAATTGTATCTGCATGAATTTGTGGGGGACATAATGAAATTATCTGACCTCAAGTAATGAAACTTCTGAAATTGATTACAGTAGTAGTAGAAGCAATTTTTGCTGTAATAAATAAAACTCTAGAGTAATTGCGGTAAAACACCTGGCATTTGCATTTGATTTTGGTTTGGCCCACATGGATATAGTGCACAAGATAACTTCACTTACTTAACTTCAGCTCTAGATCTTAAAATCCTCCTTAACCCAGCTACCAAAATGCATTAATATGTGGAGACTATTGTGAGCATCTGATGAACTGAGAGCTCAGTTTCTTTTTAAAACCCATCAGTACTTGTTTTTTCCTGTTTGGACAGCATTAAAATGTGCTTCTTCTCAAAATGTAGCTACCCAGGCTCTCTGGGATCGGGATAAGGAATGAAGTGTGTGCTGCTTTTGTGTTTCTGTGGTTTTAATATATGCCTTTTATTTTGGTTTGATGTTTTTGTGGCTTGCTTTTAGTGATTGTGTGATTTTGTTTTAATTTTTTTTTTTTTTTTTTTTTTGAGACCAAGTCTCACTCTATTACCCAGGTTGGAGTGCAGTGGTGTGATCTTGGTTCATTGTAACCTGTCTCCCGGGTTCAAGCGATTCTCCTGCCTCAGCCTCCTGAGTAGCTGAGACTACAGGAATGCACCACCATGCCTAGCTATTTTTTGTATTTTTAGTAGAGACAGGGTTTTGCTGTGTTGGCCAGGCTGGTCTCGAACTCCTGACCTCAGGTGATCTGCTGGCCTTGGCCTCCCAAATTGCTGGGATTACAGGCATGAGCCACCACACCCAGCTCAGTTTAATTTTCAAACATAGAAAACTTCAAACAAGAGAAATAAATCTTCCCCCAGGTAATCCAAAAGGTGCATCTTTGTAGAAAGGCCTCTACACGACCCCATGAATTTCAGGACAAAGTACCACATGAGAGATTTACAATATCTGCGTTACGAAATGCATTTTTCTCTAGAGTCCCCAAATTACTCTAGTAAGGCAGTGTTGCATTAGAACTAGATTCCATGAAGAGTTGATGAAGCAAATGCTGGCCAGGGTCTGAGACCCCAGAGAGATTTGAGTAGGGAAAAAAGATCTTGAAAGTGATCCTGCCTAACAAGAAAAAAACACCTTCCTTTGTGCCTTCTCCTGATCCTTCCTGTCAATGTTTCCTCAGAATAAATCTGTGGAATAATTAAGTATTTTCCACAGTGTCTCTTCATCCCATGTTGTCTGTGTGGTTGAATCTATTCTACAGTATGTTAAGAACATATTAGGAAGTGAAAAATCAAGACACATTGGGGACATAGCAGGACCAGCGAGAAATGATTTTAAAATGCAGCCTAGGTCATTGTGACTTCCAGGATCTCTCACCCTAACTGGATTGGGGGATTTTAAACAGTACCCCGATACTCAACTACTAGTACAGACTCCCGTGCTCAAGTTCTTGGAATTGAGCACCGGATGTTCTGGAAATGCGCAAAGCCAAAAATCAGTCACCTGGCTGTTGTGAAATCAAACCTAACTGGTTACCTTATGAAACACCCAATTCATTCTCCCTACATTTCACTTCGGTGTCGCCTGTGACATAGGCAGTATTCTCGGCCTGTGGCCCACTGAGCCTGCAGATTCAGGATATCTGGAGCCCAGGGCCCTGGAATCTGTTTTTTTTTTTTTTTTTTTTTGCTTCATTCTTATACCCACAAATTTGAGTTTTGTTGTGGTTGAACCTCTGTACAGAGTGTGCAATCAGTCATGCTCCTCAGTGAGGCCACTGCCCAGGGGTATTGTTGTTTCCTGCAAAGCTCCTCTTCTCTTTATTCCTCCTCCCTGCACCCGCTAGCCTGGCTAAACTGTATGTTCCTATTTTATTTTCAAAATGGTAGCTATTCTGAAATAGTTAGCAGGCATTCTTTGTTCAGAACTATTCTTTAAAAATATGGATTTGTGTGTGTACACGTATTGAGGCTGTTGTGTTCTGTGTAACGTTCGGTTTCTGATGTTTTCACTCTACACCCTGTTTTCTTAAAATTCATCCATGTTGTTAAATACTCGTCTAATTCATTTCTTCCAACTGCCGTGCAGTCCTCACTGGTGTGCACCCACTGTCTTTCACCTAGCCATCCTGCTAAGGCCAGTTTTAATTAATGGATCTTTTCATTTGGGTGAAACGTTTTCAAGGGAAAATATCTTTGTCATTATTGTCCTTGTTTGATTGTCCTTTTTGTTCTTTTCAGGAGCTCCAGAAGGCTGTGGACCACCGCAAAGCCATCATCCTCTCCATCAATCTCTGCAGCCCCGAGTTCACCCAGGCTGACAGCAAGGAGAGCCAGGACCTGCAGGATCGCCTGTCACAGATGAATGGGCGCTGGGACCGAGTGTGCTCCCTGCTGGAGGAGTGGCGGATCCTGCTGCAGAATGCACTGATGCAGTGCCAGGTCCGTAGAGCTTTGGGCAGGAGGTGACTCAGAATCAGACACTAGCAATTTAGCTGAGTGTGTGACTCGATGTGTCATTGTTTCCAGAGGGATGCAGTTGCCCCCCAAAATCAGTATTTCAGTGACGTAATCTTGTGCCCAATCTTTTCATTTTACTTGAGCATTTCTACATGTGACCATATTCAAAATCTCCAGATCCTATCTTCTGTCTAGATGAGAAGAGACTATTCCTCATGTTTATCTCAGTCCCAACGTTTCTTCTATGACTCATTCACTTATTTCCTTTATTTATTCAACAGATATTTACTGGGCAAGTAGACAGATCTTTCTTGAACATCAAAGTGAGCATTACAAATATTTATCCATCCCTTCATATTATAATTTCTTGTTGGGTGTTCACTGTGTGACAGATGTGGTGCTAAACCGTTGGAAACAGCATGGCCTCTGCTTTTCTTGGGGAGGACAAGATCAATTAAATGCAAGTAAATAATTAAACAAGATACTAACAGACGCAGATGATAAAAGTAACTGAGAAAAGCCACTTTGAGAGGGTAGTCAGGGAATTTAGTTGGCTCTTTGAGCTAACATTGGAAGGGCGTTGCTATGAAGGTGATGTAACAAATGGGAAGTCCCAGAAGCAGGAAAGGACTTAGTGTCTTTAGGAACAGAAAAAAGGCCACTGTGACCAGAATGTAGTCAGTGAACCGAGCCAGGGAGTGATAAGGAAGACTGAGGAGGTTGTAGGTCCTCAGATGGCTTTGTAGGTCCAGGCCAGGAGATTGGATCATATTCTAAGCACGATGGAAAGCCTTGGAAGGATTTGAAACATGCTCTCCAGGTTTATACGTGCCACAAGACTAATAGTTCCTTGAAAGCAGCTACCTAAACTGTTTCACCTCTGCACTCATTCCTAGTACAGTGCCTTTTATTTAGGAGATCTTTAGTAAATGTATGTTGAATAAATAAATGGATGAATGAATGAGTGTCTAAATGAGTGAATGAAGGGGATATGAAATTCAGCCAAGGTAAGCCTTAAAAGACGGAAAGATTTGAATACACAGAGAAGAGAGGGCAGCAGAGATGCTTCCTTCTAAACTGTGTAATAGCGTTACTCTTTTTTCAGAAATTAAGTATTTTGATGCCAATTTTTCTTTTGTCTAAATTTTCCTCTAAGTAATAAGTTAGATGCTTTTGGTAAGAATATGAACTCACAATCAGGTCATTACAACAGCACCAGTGCTTTCCTCAGAAAGGAGTTGCATGAATGTTCTTAAAATCAACCTATGTTTGCTAATTGTGGGAAAGACATTTAAGTTGTGAGAAAAAGAAAAATATATGATCTACAGTTACTTAAGGCTGTTTTCTGTAGGGTTTCCATGAAATGAGCCATGGTTTGCTTCTTATGCTGGAGAACATCGACAGAAGGAAAAATGAAATTGTCCCTATTGATCCTAGCCTTGATGCAGAGGTACTTCAGGACCATCACAAACAGCTTATGGTAAGAAGTGTGAACTATGGCAGCCTCTAGTTTTTTTTTTTTTTTTTTTTTTTGTTTGTTTTTTTTAGCAGGGTTGCATTTCATTTACAGAGAATGAATATAAGTGTTGTGTCTTTTTTAACCTTTTGCATTATAGTCTCTATTTTACACTTTTTATACTCCCTGTGGTTTCCAATCTTTGAAAGCAAACGTGCATGGAAGATGATATCTGCTAGCTTTAGAATCTGGTTCTAAAGTCATTGCTCAATTGTAAAAATCTTAGTATCCTCAAAGAGTCTTAATTAGCTTGTGTTGTTTATTAGGGCAGCTTGATTTAAACTTTATGTCACATCTGTGGCCCAGGAAATATATTTGGTGGCTTATAGTAAAAGGCCATTAAAGTATTAGAATAGAATGAGACAATGAAGTCTTTCATTTGTTGGTTTGTTTTTGTTGTTGTTGTTGTTGAGATGAAGTCTCACTCTGGCATTCAGGGTGGAGTGCAGTGGTGCGATCTCAGCTCACTGGAACACCCATCTCCAGGGTTGGAGCAATTCTCCTGCCTCAGCCTCCCGAGCAGCTGGGACTGCAGGTGTGTGCCACCACTCCTCACTCATCCTTTGTATTTTTAGTAGAGACAGGGTTTCACCATGTTGGTCAGGCTGGTTCAAACTCCTGGCCTCAGGTGATCTGCCCGCCTCAGCCTCCCTAAGTGCTGGGATTACAGGCGTGAGCCACCATGCACAGCCAAGTCTTTTTAAGAGGAATTAAATGTACCAAATTAAACATGAACTTTAGCGTCAAATCTTCTGAAAGCTAAAACAAAATGGGAAACAATGAGTAAACTTACTTTCATTATCTGTCAACAAAAAAACATACCAGTTCTTGAGGAAGGAGAAACTTCTTCTAGCACCAAATACAAAAGGAAATTAACTGGTTGACTCTTATACAAGGATCTTTGGACAATATAATGTACAGTGTATTTAAGTGATTTTATAGAAGATAAGGAAGCATATTTGAGTTCCATTAGAAGAAAATGCTGTGCACTTTGTAGCTTTCTGTATTTTTAAAATGTTATGCTTTAACATTTAACACTCGCCTAAACTACAGAATTGGTACCTTTTAATTCAGTACCATAATAGTCTTAGAAATCTGGAGGAAATAGCTACAGAACTGCATTTTACTTCACTTTGACCTCTGGCATTAAGCTGTGAATGATGAATGACCCTTTTTTTTAAAAAATCTTGGCTAGATATCAGAGGATACCTGGACATACTTCTGTTTTGCTATACTTAATGTTGTACTTTTCTGTTTAAAAGACTATCTTATATCTCACTTGCATACTAATCTATATTCTAAGTACTTTCATATATACGTTAACCAATTTGAACCTTCCAGTAATACTGTGGACCAGGCATCACATCAAACTGAGATCAGAAAGGGTGAGGGGTCTTATAGAATATTTTTGGCAAAGGCAGGATTAGAACTGAGGCCGTGGGCTGTTGTATCCTTTAGTGTGTGAGCTCCACATTTGGTGCTCAGGTATAATTTCCCACCAAGTGAAGGTGATCTCATTCTGCACTTTTGGAACTTTTGCCAATTACAAAAATGCTGAGAAACATTATTTATTTTGGTATGCATAGCAAATAAGGCATGAGCTGTTGGAATCCCAGCTCAGAGTAGCCTCATTGCAAGACATGTCTTGCCAACTGCTGGTGAATGCTGAAGGAGCAGACTGTTTAGAAGCCAAAGAAAAAGTCCATGTTATTGGAAATCGGCTCAAACTTCTCTTGAAGGAGGTCAGTCGTCATATCAAGGAACTGGAGAAGTTATTAGACGTGTCAAGTAGTCAGCAGGTAAGCTCTGAACAGACATCATCGTGTAGCATTCCTTACTGGAAACCAAAGAAGCATCATCTTCATGCATTTTAGAAAGATTTTGAATATAGTGCTTGTCAGAATGGAGTGTCTCCTCTCAGTCACAGCTCTTACAAGTCCTATCTCAAAATAAAAAAAAAAAAAAAGCAGCCACATAAACTTTTATAATAGGACACTGTTTGATTCTGTTAAATCCAAAAGCTCTCTTGTCATTGTTACTAATGCTGTTACCACAACTGCTGTGGCATTTTTTTCACCCGTTTAAGAATTTACACATTTCAGTTACACAGCCATGGTAGAGAAAACCAATTGTTATATCTGAGTTTTGTATTTAATCCCTCTAAGGCATGACTTCTCCATTATGTGTACAGTAAAAAAACGTAAAAAATGAACCTCTGCTCATTTAATTTTTTATATTTTTTTCTAAAATTGACTGCATTGTGGTATTATTGGTTTTGAGAAATGCATTTGCAGGTATGGCGACACTTGGTAAGGTTTCAGCCTTTCTGTTGTGATATCCTGTCATGAACACACACACTTTGCCCTGCTGTAAGCATGCAAAAGAACAATCCGCTCTGAATAGCAGCAGTGCCAAAAATAATGAAGTCTCTCTAATGCTAAAAGGCAGACTGCTGGATGCCCTTTTTTCTAACTGGAATATGTTGATTTCTCTTCGGCCTGAGGGACCAGCAGGCTCCACGGAAGACTTCTTCCCCTCCCAAGCCATTATCAACTCATTCACATCCATGTCTCCAAGAAATAATAAAGCTCTAAGTGAAACATAGCAATAACAAAATCAGAGCTATATTTTTCAGAAGGGCCAAACAGACAGCTAGGAAATCCCAACACACTAGAAGAATTTGGCCCTGTTCTTCTTGTAGCTGTCTGATTCCATCTTTCCCAAGGAGTGGTTTGATTTTTTTGGTGGAGACACCGGGGGTGGATGGAGTTGGAGTGGGAAGCAGCATGGTGCAACACAGAGCCCCCGTGGGGCTGGGAGACGAAGTTGTTAAAAGACTCTTTCTCCCACATAGGATTTGTCTTCCTGGTCCTCTGCTGATGAACTGGACACCTCAGGGTCTGTGAGTCCCACATCAGGAAGGAGCACCCCAAACAGACAGAAAACGGTAACTTTCCACTGGTAGTTTTTCAGTTGGCCCATGGGAGGGAACACTGGAGGAGTGACGTATTTGTACCCACCACAGGGTTCACAGGCAGGCACCCCTTCCCGACAAGGGCTGTCACACAGGGTAGTGCGCTTCCTCCACCCTGCCACATGCCCTCCCAGCATGCGCTCAGGAATGGAAAAGAGCGATTCTGGTTTTCAAAGAATCAGGACTCAACGTGTGGCTGGTATGCAGGAAGAACATTTATTTTTCTTGCTCAAATAAGAAAATTGCTAGAATGGTGCCCGTTTGTCCCTTTGGTGGCTCCTTTCTTCAAGCCATGGCTGCCACGACTGTCTTAAAAGGTAGGCTGCCACCTGCAGGGGCACCTTGGCCAGAGGTGCACAGAACCGTGAACGCCTGTGAGCCATTGACTCGTTAAAGCAAGTTGAGGTTCTGTTGACACTCAAGCTAAGCCGCTTCTGGGTGGTGGTCCTGAAGGTCTGCGGCAATCATGCCGCCCCTAAAATGGCAACAACTCACCCGCAGGCCTCGGTGGGGGCTGCCTCACTGAACACAAAGGATGAAAGGACAAATTTGGCCCCTGCTACCCTCTATGCCTTGATTTCTCTGTGTAATTAGAAGCTTGTTTTTTGTTTTGTTATATTTTGTCCAGCTTTATGATTATATTCATTCCATTTTTTTCGTTAGTTTTTAGAAGTTTTGATTTCATTTGACTTTTTTTTGTTATAAACATTTATGTCCTAAGCTGATAAATGTATTATCTTTTTTAGGATTTTTTTTTTTACTACATTCACTAGTTTCCTATAGATCCTAGTATAAGAATGTGAAGGAATACTGGCTTTTCAAGTCAAATTTTAACCTTTCTTTAACTGGAATATTTAAGTTGGGCTTTATCACTGCAAAGACCAATCTCACATTGCCATTGTTAATTTTTATGGGCCAAGAATGTTGACACTGCTTCAGTATTCTAAAAGATGAAAAAATATGTAAAGTATCTTTGAAATCCATAGTATGGCATAGGGCACTTTATATTTATTGTAAGTAAATATACACATGTGTTTCTACCATGAAAAGCCAGGGGAAATCTGCCCACCATAGTGTGGACTCCGGAATCCCCACCTGTGTTTTATCCATGGCTAGTCACATAGATGTAAATTTATTTCACTTCTTCAATAAAAGAAAAGCCAGTTTCCTTAATTCATGGGTACTGATCATTTCATTTGATTTATTTTTCCTTTGCTGCACTTTTAGTTTGATTTTCATTAGTAGCTTGTCTTTATTTGCCTGGACTGAACATTCTTCTTTCTTTACCCCCTGTTCATTGCAAACAGCCACGAGGCAAGTGTAGTCTCTCACAGCCTGGACCCTCTGTCAGCAGTCCACATAGCAGGTACCTCATTCTCCTGGTTTCCACACTGTTCTAGAACCCCAAGAGGATGATGAAAATTGTCCATGACTTAGGTAGGCCTATATCTGGTCTGCCTCAGGGTAGTTGGGAAATTACTCATTTCAGTCCATACCCTTTCCTCATAAACCGGAAGAGATGTTTCTAAATGAAATGTGCAAGTAAATTTCGGAGCATAAAATATTTGGACTCCATGAAAATTCTGTTTGTCTCAACATAGCCCATCTGGTACTTTTCCCCAAATTGTCAATAAGGATTTGATGAAAACTGGTGGCACCACGGCCCTTTGATTCATGGCAGACTTTTATCATCCTCTTTATTTCTAGAGTTTACAATAAGACAGGTAATCGATCAATGAATTCTTTTACCATTCACAGAACCCACAAATCTGAATAAAATATACTAACATCCCCAGCTTTTTATTTTCTTTTCATGTTTTATCCAGATTGTGGGTTTTGAATTCTCAAAATGGCAAGTCCTAATTTGGTGTTCATTGAAAACTTATAAGCATCTTCTCTTTTCTGCTTATCCTAAAACTTCCCTTCAGCCAGCATACCCAGCCACTCACTTTCTGGGCACTTGGCAAGCTCTCTCACTCTGGAACCCGCAGCAGCCAGTGCCCCTGCCCAGTCACCTCCCCAGAGCAACTCGCAGCTGCCACTCCCTCCGTGCCTCCCGCCTGGCCTCCCGCAGTTAGCAGTGCTTTGCCTTCTTTTGTGTTGTCAGTGTGGTGTCCTGTGCTCCTCTGCTCCTCCACTGATCAATTCAAGTTTCCCCAGACAACGTTCTAAAAAATGAAAACTCTGTCCTCAGAGCTGGTTTTCATTCCAGTCCCTAGCAATTCACTGTTAAAGTAGCTTGCCCCTCTGGAAGCTTAACACCACTGAGCAGAAATCTGAATTCCTGGAAGGAGGGTGGGGAGGAGGAAATGGAGAGCTGTAAACAACCCCTGAGTAATAATTTTAGTTTTCCAGCTGTGCAGAAGGGACTGGCTATTTTGTTTGGTCCTTCCCACTCAGCTGAAGTAATGCAGAATGTATTTTCATATGTTCTCTGGTTTTAAACCTCCCTTTGCTGTTTCTTTTTCTTTTCTTTTCCTTTGGTTTGATTTGAAGACAATTTTATGAGTTATTTTTTCCTATCCTAAACAGGATAGCAATAATAAAATATGGAGAAAAACTCATGGGGACTTTTGAAGATAATGATGAGCATCTGCAGGTGCTCCGAGGTTTGCTCAGCCCGCTCTAAGGAGAGACAGTTTCTTTTAGACACATCATTGTATTATATAGTCCATCTTTTCTCACAAATTGTTGATGTGCCATGAACAGAGATGAAGAATATCCTCATAGCATTCCTTTGAGGATGCCAGAGATCAGTTCTTTGGTTGATACAAATGAAAGTGATCAGAAGGAGAAAGCTCTTACGTCATGATGCAACGCCAATAGCAATCACTCTTCGGTTCCCAAATATTGCATCTATCTGCCACCCCCAACCCATTGTTTCAGGCAGCCACATATATCTTTTGAAAATGTCAAAGGCATCATTTCTTAGGGCAGCAAGTGCTTCCTCTTGCCTCCTAACAGGGCTTTGCAGCTGGGACAGCCGCACTCTGACTACGACACTCACAAGGCGCCTTTTAGCTCTGCTCTGTCCAGCACGGTTGATTAACATCTTTCTGAGCATTCAGCACAGTGTTCACTTTGCTACTCAGGTGGGACTGAAAGATAAATAATCTTCACCTGAATGGCAAACATTATCAAACACCTTCGCAGACAGGTTGTGGTTGAACATTCTTGGGCTTCGTTACCCTCAGCACCTCTGTTTGGGGCACACCCAACCCCGACAAAGAAAGGCAGAGTCTGCTGGGGAAGAATCGAACTTCACCCACAGTCCTGGCTGTCATGGTGTTCCTTTACATTGAGATTTGAGTTATCTTGCGTTTGATCTTGCACCGGTCCAGCAAATTGGAAAAGTTATTGCAGAAGCACAAATAATTTAGAATGTTGTTCCCAGCGGTCTGCGGTGGGAAATTTTTAGATATGCATTCTTCCTGAGAGGAGAAAGAGACTGAGTTGGAAAAAACTGAGGAGTATTAGTTTGAAGGGAGAAGTTAGTCTTGTGGTTTCTTTGTTGTTGTTTAAAGTCAGATGAATGTTATACCAGCCTGTTACATATTTCAATTTGATTTGATGGTGGTGATTGTGTGTCTTCATATAGTACTTTAAACCTACATATGATTTGATGCCAGTAGTTACTGAACACCTACTAAATTTCGGCCCTGGGCCTACAAAAATAATTCGATATGATTTCTACCATTAAAAGGCTTGAGCATATCAGAATCTAGAGATTCCCTAAATCATTGTAAGGAGTTTCCCAGAACCTCTTAAAATTAGAAATATAAAATTCTATGCATACATTCATAATAACCATATTTGTGATTTTTATTTGAGGTTAAACACACTTTAGAGCATGCTTTCAAAGCAATGCTTATGATGGACCAGCTGGTACTTTTTTCCTACATCTGACTTAAAATTTTCTAACTTTATCACCATTAATTCTGCAAAAGTCTACTGCAACTGAGTTGAAATTGACAACTAGAAAGATTTCGCTGCAATTTCCAGAGAGGCAAAGGAATAAAGTCTGGATGAAGCAAATTGATTACTTCATTCTAAAGCTTAGAATTATAAAATACAAAATTGCCGTGGACACCTTAAGTCTCCGGTGCCTTCTTTACAGAGAACTAAGATGGAATGAGAAGTGGCAAATGACTGGCTGAAAGACTGAAAGGGAGGGAAAAAAGGCCTCATTTTAAAATGTGTTGAAATTAATCGGATATATTTAAGCAAGGGCAGTGGGAGTTTTTTTGCATGTTCACTAGGGCCTCACTATAAACACTATTCAGTTTCTTTTAGAATTTGTTTTCAAGCCTTTTCTGTCAGACATTATCTGGGGATCTATTTATTCAAAGCATTCAAAGAGCCTCAGCACAGAGCCTCTCTTCTCCAAGGCAGGTTGGTCACCTGTGCTCCAAGGACAGCGGTAGGTTGAGGTTCCAATAGGTTTCTCCTTTGCTATTTGAGTTAGGCCTTCCCCATGTTTCTAGGGAACAAGACGGGCAATTTGAGAAATTTATCGCATCCTTGAAAGCACTATTAATAAATCAGGTATGTTTTCCTGAGAGAAAAGGCTGAATCCAGCCAACTCCTAAGGGTATGAGTCAGCACACTGTTGGTATAATTATACAGATAATAGTGATAAGTTGCTGACATTTATTTAGTACTTAGTGTGTTTCAATTATTTAGTGCTTAATTGTATACATGTTAAGCATTGTATGTATGTTACCCCATTTAACCCCCACAAGAATCCAATGACATGGCTATATTCGCAATTTATAGACAAGGACACTGGGGGTTAGAGATGTAAAGATTTAGGATTTGAACCCAGGCCTCCCCTGACTCTAGATCCTACCCTGTTAACCATACCATTCTGCTGAAGGGCTGTTTATGGGTAGAATCCTTCTAACAATGGTTTCAGAGCTGTGGCCACCACAGGCTGCCTCAGGTAGCTTAGGATCGGCAAGAATGTTTGGTTTGGAAAATAAGAAGACCTGAGTCCTAACTTGATTCTGGAAACTTGTCTTCTGAACCACACATCCAGAAATTACTGGGTTTCAAAGACAAGACACGTAAGGGCAGGATCAAGATCACGGAAAATCTAGATATTTCTGCACAATAAATTCCTGTTACGTACTGCCAGTGTTAGCCAACAAGTAACAAAAGAAATTAGAAGTTTCTGCTCATTTGGCTTTAAATGATGTATGCACAAAATTAACTCATTGTCATTTCCTTGATTATGTAAAATTTTCAAAGTGAGTCACACTGTGCATGGCATTCAGACTTCTCACATTTGTGTGTCCAGTACACTTTCTTTTGAAGGGTGTGTTTTTAGTTACTACTCCCTCCCTGCCATTCTCCTTCTCCCACAATTGTCTAGGTATTTTGGGATAGAGATGAAACAACTCCTGGGTAACTATTTACCTGGAAATTTGAAGGAGTGAGGGAAGTGAGAAAAATAAATAAAAATGTACTTGTAGAGAATAAGCACATTTTCTTTTTCTGGACAGAGCTATCTGATATTTCTGTATTGATGAGTACCTTAAGTAAATTCACACATTTAATTTTTCCTATAAAAACACGATCTAAACTGACATCCATGTATATTATAAAGCCAGAGGCAAATGACCAGTGACTAGTCAACAAATTGCCTTTATTCTTTCCCATATCAAATTTCCCAAGACTCTTGACACTTAGGTGATTTTTAGGACAGTAGATAAATACTAACAGTAACCTTTATCCTGGGGACCATTAGCCTCTTGGTACTAAAATCACTAGAACAAGTTACCCCTGAAAAAGAGGCCGCTTTGGGCATGTTGGAATCTGGTAATTACCCCAAGCAGGCAGGCATTTTTCCCAGTGGATAGTTACGACATTTTCAAGGGCAGCCAGCTGCATAGACAGTCACTGAGTTCTGTGTGTTCTCTCTGTCCCCATCTCAGCCCATGACTTCTTCCTAGGTTGGCATTCTTCAACATTAGAGGTCATACACAAATTAAATTTTCGTAAAGAATGTTCTGATCCTGTTAAATATGCCATGTCCTTCAACACACTTCAACATAGGAGCCCATAGTCTGCAAATGCGGACCCTTTTCATTTTTTGCAGGAGTGAGCTAGTCAATGTGCAGCCCTTGTTTTGATCCTGATCTTTGACCTGATTGCACAAAGAAGCTAACAGTTGACAAAGAGGAGCTATTCAGCTCTGTCCAATTGCATTATCCATTATATATGTAAACCTTCCCATCACTAAAGTCCTTCAATGTCTCCTAGTGGTAATTAGCTATTTAATGAATAGAAAAGGTGGAGCTCTCTTCTGTCTCCCTGTTATCTCATCTAGCTGCAGGTGTTGAGGGCTGGTTGCCAGGGCATATTTTAAAGTCAAGGGAAGGATATTTTGAAGAAAATTTGATCCCCAGTTTGTGGGTAGCTATCCTATCCTTCTTAAGATACTTTAAGACAAACCATTGAGTCATAAACTGTCAGAGCCAAAACATTTTAGGACATTAATGCACCCCTCATCATTGCAAATGAGAAAACTGAAGGCCAGAGAGACTAATTTACTTGCCCATGATTATATAACTGCCTCAAAACAAAACGTCCTCACGTCCATACACGGATTTGATGATCTGCAGGATACTGTGAGGCCTTACAACTAGAGGCATTTATTTTAGACATGAGGAAACTGCTTGTTTCCAGATATTTTAGAATGCAAACTGAGGATTCTCTTCTTTGCTTCTACATGTGAGATGCCTGTGACGTGAAAACGACCTGAATTACCGTTATTCATATCACCAACCAACAAAACATTTCACAGCGGAGAGTGTGGCGGGCAGCGATTTGGGAACCCTGAGTTCCTGCTAGGCCTCTTTCTTTAATTGTGGGATTTGGAGCGAGTCATTCACCCTGTCTAGAGAGTCCCAAGTTCTGTTAGTAAAAATCACAGGGTTGAAATCTTCTGCCACACCCTGGCTGTGTAAGCTTGAGCCAGTTATTTCACTTCTCTGAGCTTCCTTTCACATCATCTATAAAATGAAGTTAATAAGTACACACCACAGAGGACTGTGGTGAGGATTAAATGACAGAACCCAACATAAATGCTCAGAGTGCTGCCTAGCAATTAGAAGAGTAAACATGAACTGTCCTTAGCTACTTACCTACAAAATTAAAAGATGAATTGGATGCCCCCTAAACTCAAGAAGTTTCTTTTTCCTTTTCCATTAATAAGGTAGATAACATATTTCTTTTATGTTCTACTATATTTTAACAAAAAATGCTTTTTTTTTTTTTTTTTTTTTTTCTTTTCAGCTCATTAGGAATAACTCATTGGTCTTAGCACAAGGGCAGTTAATCAGATTGACCACTAGATGGTGATTGAGCTCTTACGGCTTCTTGGGAGATTATTTACACTGACAAATCAGTAGAAGACATAAAACATAAAACAGGGAACTTAAAAGTTGGAAGACCATCTATTCTAATTTGAAGAGGTTAATGAAGAGGTTGGCACATAGAAATGAAGTGAATTGTTCAAGGTTACATTACACTGCCATTAGTTGTGGACTTCAGAAAAGAACATGCTTTCAATTTAAGCCAGTGACTTGATTTTTCCTTACACCACAAGAATTGTAATAGAAACACTGCATGGTGCGGGCTGCTTGGGGTTTTTGCAGAACCAATCTGTTTGTCTCCCTTTTTTTTTTTTTTTTTTTTTTTTTGAGATAGTCTTGCTCTGTCACCCAGGCTGGCATGCAGTGATGCTCAGATCCCAGCTCACTGCATCCTCCGCCTACCGGTTCAAGCGATTCCCCTGCCTCAGCCTCCCAAGTAACTGGGACTACAGGCACACACCACCATGCCCAGCTAATTTTCGTACTTTTAGTAGTGACAGGGTTTCACCGTGTTCGAGGCTGGCTCGAACTCCTGGCCTCAAGTGATCCGCTGACCTCAACCTCCCAAAGTGCTGGGATTACAGGCGTGAGCCACTGCGCCCAGCCCTCTCCCATTTTTCTTTGATGGTTTAATAAAGGAGTTTTGAATAATCCCTCTGTTACATCTTAAGTGGATTCTGTTTTTTATTTTAACATTTATCTAGTGTCACTCCTCATACCCCACTGATAAAAGGGTAATCTGTCTTCAAAATTAGCAACCAATAGGGGAGCTGCAAACATAGTGCTTTTTTCTGGGCCAAACCCACAGTTACCAATACAGCGTTCACGTGCTCATATTATTCCAGCAGCCTCACATTCAATGTTCTTACCCTTAGTGATGTTAAAACCCTTAGGAAATTTATGCTAGGTGTGAGGGAATGTCTCTTTTGGCTGTATCTATTATTTTTGCTCATTCATTGTTGTATGGGTGTGAGTATACACAAAATGCCTGTTGCAAACAACACTTCTTTCTTCATCGTTTCTACTAGTAGCCAAAAAAGGTTAATGGCTGTTCACAAAAAGAAAACAGTAGCACCCAAATCAAAATCTACTTCCAGACTCTGTTTTCCAGACAGTCTTTCTTAGGAATTCTGAAGCCTGTGCCCAATCTCTAAGTCACTATTTAAAAGGAAGACAAAAGTGAAATAGAAAAGCTTGTCTCTTTGAGTGTAGAGGGGACTCCAGGATGACAATCCATCCTCCTCAGAAAATGGAGTCCATTTGCCAAAGTCACGACGTTAGTGGTAGGATCAGCCAGCATCGACGTCATACAACACCAGAGTTCTGTAGACAAACTCCACTGCTGTTCCTTGTTTGTACTGCTTCAGAACTCGCTAATGTCAGGGCCTGATGCTGATTCAGTGCAAGATGAAACCAGGGTATGCTCTATGATTAATGAAGCTTTTGTGGGTCTATGCAAAATGACTAGGACTGTTTTTATTTTTGCTGCATGGATTTTGGCATATCCAGGATGGCTAGACGGGATACTTGGTATGATTCTGAAAACGACTAATTTTGTTTAACAATGTTCCTGATATTCTTAAAACACAAAGGTACTGCATCAAATAGCTACATTTTAAATATTTCAGATCTACTTAATTTATGCTGGTAGAATGTGTATAGAGCAATTATTTTTGTTGATGGAAATTTTTTTACCAAATTAAGGAATTAAAGGAGTAGAATTTGAACCCAATTACTTATGTTTAGTTGACTGACTAAATGTTTATTTCTCGCCAGTGCAGTTTCCAACAACTTCATTTGGTGGTGGGGGGGTGACCTGGGCAAACTGTGGAAGGCTGGCAGCTGATTGCCAGGCTGGGTGTGCTTGGCATGCCCTTTTAGCTTCCAGGAAGGTGCAGAGGCAAAAAGCAATGTCCATCCAACACTGGAGTTATCTGAGTTATTTATGTCCATTCTTCTCTCAGGTCCACAAAAGGTGGCTCCGATTCCTCCCTTTCTGAGCCTGGACCAGCTCGGTCGGGCCGCTCCTTCCTGTTCAGAGTCCTCCGAGCAGCTCTTCCCCTTCAGCTTCTCCTGCTGCTCCTCATCGGGCTTGCCTGCCTTGTACCCATGTCAGAGGAAGACTACAGCTGTGCCCTCTCCAACAACTTTGCCCGATCATTCCACCCCATGCTCAGATACACGAATGGCCCTCCTCCACTCTGAACTAAGCAGATGCCATCTGCAGAAGTACTGGCAGCATAAGGAGGATCGAGTCATAAGCAATCCCAAACTATCAACAAGAGGACCTCGATCTTGCCAAAAGCCCTTGGTGTAGCAGCTTTAGCTCTCCTCTAGATCACACGTGTGAAATCATGGCTTCGGAGGTGGAGGATAAACAGTGACAGGAGAGCAAACAGATGACAAGAAGCTTTGGAAGAAATCTGGTTTGAGACTCTGAACCTTAGCACTAAAGAGAGTGAGTAAGGACCTCCAGAGGTCCCTGGACTCGTGAATTCTCAGCCCTTGGCTCTTTCTATGCATAGCCAAGGACTTCAGTAGACCATCTGGGCAGCGTTCCCGTGGTGCTGCTCTAACCATCAGATAAACAACCCTCCCAAGCTCCATGTCAGTGTCGTACAATCTACCAACCAACCAGTGCTGAAGAGATTTTAGAACCTTGTAACATACAATTTTTAAGAGCTTATACGGCAGATTCCTTTTTACCTTGTTTTTCTTTGGGGCATGATGTTTTAACCTTTGCTTTAGAAGCACAAGCTGTAAATCTAAAAGGCACTTTTTTTAGAGGTATAAAGAAAAACTAGATGTAATAAATAAGATCATGGAAGGCTTTATGTGAAAAAAGTTGAATGTTATAGTAAAAACAAAGATATTTATGAATGTACAGTTTGCTAAAGCCAAGTTTTGTTTGTATTGATTTCTTTGCATTTATTATAGATATTATAAAATATTTGGTCTGTGCTTTTTTTCCTAAATAAATAACTCCTAAGTATCATTATTAAGCAGGCACTGATCAGAATGCAACCCATGTGATTATATTTTGTGCAATGAATGAAGCTGGAATATAAGTATCCATTAAAGGAAAAGGATGGCAAGAGGCAGTGTGAATTTAGACATAGAAGACCCTAGGTGATTCCTTCTTCTCTCTTCCTTCCATAGTCAATCAAATCTCCTGAATTCTTGCTTCTGGAAACCTTTCATCCTCTCCTCTCCATTCCTTTTACACATTTGTACATTTGGAGGGGCTTCTTAGGAGCTGCTGCCTGAGTTCCCTTCTCCATTCCATTGCAAGCAGACAACAGCCACAGAAATCTTCTTAAAGCATGCTTCTGTTCAGATCCCTTCTTTGCTGCAAAGCCTTCTGTTGTTCATTGTCTACCAGATAAAATACAATTTTCATTTTCAAATGCAATGAGATTTTTATTTTGCCCTTCTGAACTTGCCTACCATAGTGGCCCTCATGGAATTATTTGATGCTCATGGCATTTTAATCTATCATTTAGTAATTTCTGGGGCATTGAAAACTCAAGTCTCTGGCTTCTCTTCCCGTAGACAGCTCTGGGACCCTAGTCTGGAGCACATATTCCTGCATGGCAGTAATTGCCAGAGCTTGTTGGCCGCTGTCCCTTTCAGAATTGGGAGAGAGAGAGAGTATCTCCTATTTGTACTTGTAAACCTCCAACTTCTCTCAAGGCCGGTATCACCCTAGCTCCCAGAGGTATTTAAGTCTACAAATCCCGCTCTAAGTTGAGTATTTAAACCAAACTGAGGTCCTTCACATTGTCTGAAACTGCCTTCTATGGCTTCCAAAATGCAGGTAGCCTGAGTCCATCTCGGCTAGGGTTCCAGGGGCTTACTAAAGTTTCCAAATCCTGGGCTTGCTTCAGACCTCCTAGTTCAATCTCTGGGATAGGGCCTGACAGCCTGCATTTTTTAAACAGATGCCTGAGGTGACTTTATTCCTGCTAAATGCTGAAAAGCACTGCCCCTATACTTCCTTAACTTCATTCCTCCTTGCCTGCCTCACCGGACTCTGCTCACAAGCCACCTCCTTCTTGAAAAATTTCCTGATCACTTTCACACTGTATTTAAGACTTCTCTCTACTACTCTTCTTCTTGCCGTCAGGTTATTCCTATCTTAGGGTCCATGTAATCTCCCACAAGGAACACGATGGAATTCCCCCACCCCATTGTTATTTTATAGAGAAGACCACCTTGTGCTTAAAGTGTCCCATCTTCCTGCTTCTGGAGAGGCTGTGAGCAGTGGTGGCTATTGGAGTTGAAGGGTGCCCTGCACCCTTATCTGAGATGGGGCACTCTTCAGGCCTCACTCTTCCCTCACTTCCCTGTCACTCCTCCGAATACCTGGAAGGAGAAGTCCTCCCACGAGCAGTTTGGCCCTTCAAGGGCTATGGAGATCCCACACAATGAGAGTGTCATCATGGAAAAGGAAGTGCAAAGAGATTTCAGAGGCATTTCTTCTCCACATCATCATCAACTGACTTCTTTGGCATCTCCCATCACTGAAGAATCAACTGGTTAATGTTGCCGAGAAAAACATTTGGTTTCAATTAAGAAAAATCTTAGAGTACAATACCATTTGTGCCTTTCTAAAAACCCTGTGAAACCCCCAAAAGGGTGTGGAATGTCCATTTCCATTATATTTTTTGAAGACTTAAACAACAGAACCTTGGAACGAGAAAGAAATAGGGAGCCCCACTGAGTGCAAACATTGAACCATGAGGCCATGGCTCTTCCAAGCATGACCGACTGGCCAGTTTAGCAAGGGCCACACCAGACACAGATGATGGGGAGACAGGGGGATGGGGCCATGAGCATCCTCACCCTCAACCAGCGGCTGCTCTGGCAACAGAGAGAGAAGGCTTCATGGACAGAGAGAGAAGTCTTCATGGAAGGGATGGGGGATGGCTTAAAGAAGAGTAAGGAGATAAAGGACACTGATGGCTGCAGTGAGGAGTGTCGGGAGCCCTGCTGTGGCCTGGAGAGAGGGCATGATGTCCCAAGTGAGTGCTGGGTGAGGAAGGGCATAAAGAGACCATCCACTGACCACAAAGAATGGTAAGGGAAGGGTTAATAATAACATGATGGTAAGGAGATTTGCACAAGCAAATGGGAAATGTTAGAAAAGTGAACAAAGAGTCCAATAAAACTAAAATGGAAAAATAAGGGATTAGAAACTAAAAGTAGTCACTTCATAAGAAATCCCGGGAGAAATGAAAGGGTTTTTGGGAAATGATGGCTGAGGAGCAGGAATGTCCCTACTGGAACATGGACCCACAATAGCTTCCCTTGTTTTTGTAGGAAGTGAGAAGACTTCAGAAGGCCCAGATGGGAAATTCAGCATGCTGAGGCCTGAAATTCACTATAAAAAATGCAGGTTGGGGTAGACTGATTAATAACCTACACCCTGGGGCCAACTCTTAAGAAATTATAGCTACAAATCTTAATTGACAAGCCACATAAGAGATCATAAAGCAAAAAATAGTGGAGAGAGACGATTTATGAAAGCTGATTGATTGTGGCCAGAAAAGTCGGGCCTCCGAGGGCTGGTCTGGCCTGCCTGAAAGCAGCCCAGTGGATGGATTCCTGGTTCGGTGCAACCAATTCACCAGTACCATTGCCAACCAACCATAGGGGATTGTGCAGAAAATAAAATATCCTGAGTGCGTACCACGTAAATCCGGAAATGCTTGGGGAGAACAGCAGCCACTAATCTCTCAAGTAGTTCATTGAATGCCCACTATATGGCAGGAACTGCTCCAAGTTCCCTTGGGAAGTCCTCTTGGGGAGTACCTCAGAAGTTCTTGTGACTTTTTTGTTCCTTTGTTTGTTTGTTTTATTTTTATTTTTTATCTTACTTTAAGTTCTGGGATACATGTGCTGAACTTGCAGGTTTGTTACATAGGCATACATATGCCCTGGTGGTTTGCTGCACCTGTCAACCCATCATCTATCTAGGTTTTAAGCCTCACATGCATTAGGTATTTGTCCTAATGCTTTCCCTTGCCTTGTCCCCAACACCCCTGACAGGCCCCAGTGTGTGATGTTCCCCTCCCTCTGTCCATATGTTATCATTGTTCAACTCCCACTTGCTAGTGAGAACATGTGGTGTTTGGCTTTCTGTTCCTGTGTTAGTTTGCTCAGGATTTCCAGCTTCATTCATATCCCTGCAAAGGACAAGAACTCTTTCTTTTTTATGGCTGCATAGTATTCCATGGTGCATATGTGCCACATTTTTTTTTATCCAGTCTATCATCGATAGGGATTTGGGTTGGTTCTTGTTTAATGCCTCATTAAAAGCAGTCACCACTGGGCCTTTGACATAGAGAAGAATTCGTATTTCCCAGCACTGGTTACATCCTGAGAGAGGATGAATACATCAAATGAGAACACTAGAAGGCAATTCAATAGAAACAATATCTAATTTAGGGGAAGGAAGGGAGATTAAAGTTGTTAGATCTCTATTTTCTTGAGCAAATGTCCTCTGCTTTTAGCTTCTAGGTCACTCAGTTTATATTACAGTGGGATGTGTTTTTGAAGAGTGTGAATATCCATCTGTGGAAATGGAGACAGGAGAAGGGGTTTACAAGCACAGAGGCAATTTTCCACTTAGGTGTAACACTGAGAAGTTAATGCAGGCAATGAGAGGTATTTTACTGAGTGTGGTCATCTCAATTTTAGATTTAATAGTACACTGGAGTAATTGTGGCTGATTGTCATATCTGAAGTAACCCAAAGATAATGAAACTGAAAAGGAAGGAATTTTTTTTTTTTTTTTTTTTGATAGGGGGGGTCTCTCTTTTTTTTTCCGGGGGGGGAGTGAAATGCTGAGATTCGCTCACTGCAACCTCCACCTCCTGGGTTCCAGCAGTTCTCCTGCCTCAGCCTCCCAAGTGGCTGAAATTACAGGCTCCCGCCACCATACCCAGATAATTTTTGTATTTTTAGTAAAGACAGGGTCTTGCCATGTTGGCCAGGCTGGTCTCAAACTCCTGATCTCAGATGATCCACCCGCCTTGGCCTCCCAAAGTGCCCGGATTACAGGTGTGAGCCACCGTGCCTGGCCAGGAAGAACTTTTATTCTTCAATTCCAAGCTTCTCACTAACCTCCCCCTTGAAGTTTTAAAATATGCACCAGGAATCCATTAGAGGCTATCATGGAGAGGCCTAAATTTGGGAGAGGGCCCTCACTCAGATGAGTAAGTTTACAAACAAGGCAAATCAGGAGAACTTCCTGTAACCTCTGCCAAGCAGCCAAAGGAAGCTAAGGGGGCTGGACAGTGGGAATGATTAATGAGAAGTGGGGTGATGTGCTGTAACACAAGCTGAACAGTGAGAACATTTCATCTGGGGAGCTGAGGAAGCCGGTTGGGACTTGGATATAATCTTGCTAAAATATGAAGGTCACAGAAAAATAAATCAGGCTCATGAATTTGTTTAACCTGTTACCTAATACAAGAGTGGGAACATAACTGAATTTGAAAACCACAATTATGTCAGGAGAAGAAGGTCCTGTGTAAGCAGTGCCACAGATGACCGAATTTGATGCCACAGGCGATCGAGAAGAAATCCCCATCTCCCTGCTGAATATTCACATCAGGGCCTCACAGATGTGTGTTCCCGGCTCAGGCCTAAATCCTGCTGGACACATTCTTGAAGCGGTTGTTGGGCTCAGAAAGCAAAGCTGCCAAGCAGCTGCCAACATCGGCAGCAATTCCAGGCAGCTAACCCCAAATCCCATTTATTGGCAGGAACCCAGCACAGCCCATGTCCACCCCTTGCCCCACACCTCCTTGTGGGATTTGCAGGTTGACTGAACACCGTAGAGATGGAATTGGCCATGGCTTTTAAAGTGGGGTTGGCTTACCTGTGGCTCAAAGAATCAATATTATCTGGAAACCTGGTAAGGATGCACCACATTCAGCCCTA